ACGGGGAGTGTTACAAAATACATAGGCTGTGTTTTCACTAGGGCGATTAACTAGCTGAACATTCTTTCTAAGATTTGTTTACAAACCGACTTTTATTAGTTAAACGTGACAACTGTTTTCACTGTGAAATTTAACCGGCAATCTAAGCCACTAACTCTCAGAGGATTCAAATTGCAAAAGCGCGCCATAATAAAAAATGAAAGGGGACGAAGTGCTTGAATGTAATGACTTCTCTTGTGATTATTTTCGCTGTATTTTTGCGAAGGAGAAGGAGTTTTTTTCAGCAAATGAGGCTTATGTCCTTACAAATTAGGAAGATGCGACGAAATCTTTTAATTCTGTCAATCCAACAACGAAACAACATTCAGTGCCATAACTGGGATAAGCGCAAGACTATGTGGGTTTATCCAAGACCACAATTCTGGTTTAAGGACCTGGCCGAAGAAATAGAGAATCCAATGGGGTCGGTGGGATTGTAAATCGAAAGAAATGACCGTTAGAATTGTCTGCCATGTTGAATTTCTCAAGTTCAACCAAGAGGCAATAGTCTGGAAAATAATATTACCAGATTATTTGGCAGGCGTCTGTCACTACGCGCGGCCCGATTGGTTATTGCGTTTATCAGGACAAGTTATACCATCTCGCGAAGTAGTATAACTCTGCGTGAATTTCCGCTAGTAAAGGCGAGAAAATCCCTTGTTTTTGCTTGTGAAAACAGCTCGCATTTTTATCTAGCTAAAACCAAGACGAGGTGTTTTCACAGTATTTCCGGACTTTTCCGGCTTTATCTAGTTAAAATTGTTCTAGTGAAAACACAGCCATAGTTCACTGTCACCTGGTGTCTTGAATTGTCCAGGCATTAGAAAATATGCAACGCAACAAAGCATGACTTACTTAACACGATCCCACTTGCGGATAGAGCCGTTACTCCTCACTCGGGAGAGGGACGATTGCATTTATAGCAGGCTAGATAAATAGCGACCATCATACATTATTGTTTTATGTAAAACATTGCACTGGATAAGATTACAACTCCACTCTATTTTCGGTCAGAACACTGCTGAGAGGTAACATGACCAATTCCTGATTTAGAAACAGTAGTTACCCCTTGGGGGTACAAGACCAGAAACCCTATATAAACGGTTTTGTTACAAACATCCTGCAGAAAGATATAGAAAGAGCTAGCAAGAGTATCATCCCTGAAGACTTGAAATTTCCGTGGAACTTTCACAAAGGCAAGGAGATGATTTACACCCAACTCGAGCAACAAAGTTCCCTGTCTTATCCTTCAGAGACGCCGATCGAGTCTAGTTTAAGGCGGCTGTACTCTCCGCAAGAGTTTCTTTTGGAGACAAGTATTGTAGTCCTGGTTTTGGCTTGTTTTGTAACAATCAGCTTTGCGGCAAGACTTCTCAAGGATGATGTGTGCTGCAGTGGTTTTGTTCCTGTGTAAAGTCTAAATCTGTACAATGCATCTTTCGCGTTAAAGATGCTCCGTTTCGAAGGCAGAAGCAGTCATTAGACAGTGGCTCTGGTAAAATCATGAGGTCCAGGAATTAGCCATGAGCTTGAGAAAACCGAGCTGGACGTTTCTTTTTTGGTTAGAACAAGCAGACGCACATTGTTCACTTATGTCTCAGGATCAGCTACCATCCGGACGTTTTTTCAGTGTATAAAAACTGGGCGGTCTGTGGTTGGTACCGATAGCAATCACAAGTTTTTTTGAACCGCCACGTGCAATCGATACACGCGTCTGGCAGTCGATCGAGTCTATCCTGCAGAAACTTGAACATTGCGCCAACTAAACTGTCTAACAGCACTGTGAAAAGCACTGCAAGACTATGGTTATTTCAATATCATCGGTTTTATGGGAAGACATGATGTCGAAAGTTGATGGACTTCATAAACGAAGGAATTAGCTAAAGATTATTGAATAGGCATTGAGAACTGCAAAAAGTATTGCTTTGTTGATGATTTAAGTGTGAAAATATTGTTTTATTATCATTCATTATGTATTAGATGTAATTTTTGATATGTATAATGCTTATTGCTTCCTGAAAGAAAGTCGTTTATTATTCAAAGCTCGTGTAAGAAATTAAGTAATTTAAGTCTTCTTAAAAGTATTATATAAACCGTTTATTGTCCACATGATGTCGATAAAGTTCATTGAATAGGAGGAACACATTTTATTTACATGATTTCCAGAGTAGTGTTGCATCAGGTTAGACCCATGAGGTGTTAAATGGGATAGTAGATTTTTTGGACTGTTAACACTTCTGTTTCGTCGAATTTTTCATTTGAGCTTTCTACTGCTACAATCTATACAAGAGAACCTCCTGACGTAGTGTAGCTCCATGTGTTAAAGATCAAATATTATATTACGTTCTTTGTCAATAGCCTAGCCTGTTCCAGGCTACGAGATAGTCGGGTCCGCGGGGACTGAGTAAGCGCGAACACAAAACAAAACGGGATTTTTGGGATGACGAACCTGTTACGTTTTAATGTCGTTTCAGGCCTGCTATAGGAAAAGTCCTTTTAACAAAAGGGAATTGGCCCCCAGAGGAGTACTTGGACGCCAAAAATCAAATCCCAAAAAATTTCCTGTGATTCTAACAAAACCTAGTAAAATCCCTGGACCAAACATTAAACCCCAAGAACCCTTGCTGTATTCACCTCGGGCACTTTATGGAGTATTTTATAACTGGTTTTGTGGAATATGTAGTTTGAGATACAACAATCTGTTAAAAACAAGTTGGATTCTACCAGGGGGATACTTGAAAGTTTTCATAAGGGAAGGCCAATCCCTTACCCTTACTCTTTCATACACTCCTTTTGACTGAAAAGGTACCCCCCACTTATGAATACCTTCTGATTGACAAATCGTAACCGTTTCAGTCACATACCTACAGTAGTTTTGGAACTTTGCATCCTTTTTAACTGCAGCAAATACATTGTTTTTAAAATGCTGTATGAATAAATCACAAAACCAGAACGTTTTCTCGAGTTTTTCACAGACATAAAATGCATCTGTTAGCCCTCATGATTCATGAATCTTCAGGCCGTTTTACCCCCAAAAAATCCATTTAAACAAAACATGCAAAAAATATATCCTTAAGAAATCATCCGAGTATCCCCTGGGGAATTACCTTCCACGATTTATCAAAACTTTGAGCAACAATATTGTATAGAAATAATCATTTTATTCAGTATTAAATTATTTTATTTGAATACTCGTGGCCGGATGTAAAATACAATTCAAGACAGGAATAAATCAATTCTAAGTTAAAAGATAATGAAAATAATAAAAAAAACACATTTCTTCCAGCCAAATTTTTCGAGTCCTGCCAATAAAGGGTTCAGATCCCTCAAATGATTGGAACACAAGAGGACTGGGGAGTGTTTAAGCAGCTTCCAATTAACTGCCGAAGAGTGGCATACCTTATCATACGTCTATTTTTAATTACAAATGCTATATTTTACTGTATTTAGAGACTCCAGGCTCAAGGTTCTCTTGCACAGTAACAGACCATTATTATATTCATTCCGAATAGTAAGAGCTAAACAATGCAAAACAAGCTAAAGTTTTCAAGTAAAAGAAGTCAAGTATGACGGACCCCAGTTACAGTGCTCAAAATGATTTTAGGGAGGTTCGACCGGTAAAAATATTAAACCAAAAAAGTTCACTAATAACAGCTTGTAATCTCAAAATTATCTTTTACCGGTTCTAGTTATCGCTAGCTATAGACCTTTCAAAAAGAGGCGAGCATGTAAGTAGAAAAAAAGAAACATGCTACCTAACTGTGATTCACTTAATAATGCCGTTGAAAGTCCGCATGTGAGGAAAGTCTTGTGCGGTCAAAGATTGATTGTTTCGTTTAGTTCTGTCTTTACCGTCGAATACAATAAGTCGTGACTGGTCAACATTACAGGTGCGTGAATTTTTTTGGCCTGTCAAGTCGCCATTCTGGCCGGATATTGTCCGTTTAAGGCCTTAAGTTGTTTCATATTTTAGGTTAGTGATAGTATAAAATGGGCCACAGGGACGAGTCAGTGCTGAAAGAGAAAAAAAACTTGTTTAAAAACACCGATGATGCATGATATAACTCACAAATTCACTGTCTACAAGTTTTGGTTGAAATAGCAGTAGATTGGACTTCACTGAATCAGCCAATGCAATTAGTCCCGTTTTGTCTAGTTGGGAATTTATTGCAAGCCAGAATCCCCGGCCAGGTGAAGCCAAATCTCTGCATAAGCGCCTCGCAGCCCCCTCTTGCTTGGTTACAAAGCTCTCTGCAAGGCTGGCGTGGTTCTTCGCAGGGCGGAGCGTAAACAGAGCACAGGAACTGGGCCAAATATGGGGAACAGCCCACTTTCACAAGTGGAAAAAATTGATGAACCTCTAAAGCGGCCTCTTCTTGTGTTCGATGGTTCAAAATGTTTGGGAACAACGTCATGTTCTGTTGCAGACCACTGCAGAGTGGAATGACCAGTGCTTCACAGCGGCCTGAATTGGCAACTAACGATTGAAATGATAATTTAAAAAATGAAGAAATGTAATGACTAGTCATATTACAGGAGACATAAAACCCGCAAAGATAAGTTGGTTCAAAGCGATTTTTGCATGAGTCGAGAGTGCGTTTTGTTTTCGAATTGCAGAAAAATCTTTTAACTGTCCACAACCACTGATCTAAAAACCTGCGTTGCGGGTGAGATGGTTTTCTCTATCCAGTTTTCCCTGGCTACGGTAGAAAAGAAGCTCATGTCATCCACAGGAGGTGCTAGGGAAGGTGCTTATATTTAATGCCAAAATCACCGGAAATTCGGTAAAAAAATAGAAGAAACGCTTCTAGTCGGAGGTTGACTTTTTTTGGGAAACGTGGACCATCCCGGGCTTCAAAGAGAGGAGTATTACCAGTCAGATCGGCAGTAACCACTTCGTTTTTTGTTTAGTCCGATCCCCGGGGAGGGGGGGTACTCCCTTATATAAAAAAAACCAATACAAAAACCGTTTGCGATCAATCTTGCTCAACGTGCCGCGTCGGATCCAAAAAGATCTTGATCAGTCAAAATAGATCAAATTAAAAACGTTGCAGTCAAGAAGACTTTTGCAGGGACTGATCAAATAACGTGAAATAGAGTTAAGTTGCGATATTTGGACTGGCCAATACTAGTACTGGTATTGGTCAGTTGAAATATCGTAACTTAACTCTATTTCACGTTGTCTGATCAGTCCCTGCAAAAGTCTTCTTGACTGTAACGTTTTCAATAAGCTGTATAGGTATGTGCCGCCCCATCAGGTACGGTTTGTGAGCCGTTTTGGTCTAAAAACGGGTTTACACTTTGCACATTTTAATTTGGACTGGAACTGGGTGTGGTTTTCGAGGGAACTACGGGAGTTTATGAACGTATTTATCTTTTCAATTCCAAATGAGTAAGATTAAAGGAGAAACATGCGAATTCGAAATGGATTTGAAGAATTTTTTTGTTTGCGCTCTAATCTTAATAATGATAAGATTATTTCTGCCCACAGGCCAGGTCTGAAAACGGGTGTGGAAAATTACATTTTTTGGTCTGAAAGAGGGTCAGGATTTGGAGAACCGGGCGGCACATCCCCACCTAGAATTCCCAGGAGTACCCCCCGGGAGTCCCATCTCGTAGGGACCTACACATAGCTAAACGTTTGGTCATAACACGCTTCAGACCAAGTGGAGATCTCCGCCGGCTAAACCTCAGAAGATCTTGCGATTAATTGTCCTTCCATTCTTTCTTGGTTAGTTGTTGTTCTGTGTACAACAACTACAGTTGTAGTTACAACTAACTACTATTAGTTATTGTTCTGGTCAGGCAGGCATGCGAAAAGTACCCAAAGTTTGAATATAAATGTAGTGAGACCTACTTACCGGCGGAAGAGGGTGTGGTCTTGGCCACCTGGGTGGGACGCGATCCGTCAATACATTGAGAGGACTCGCCTTTTCTTGGTAACTTGGAGCAAGACACTGGAAACTTGAATCCTATCTCGCGAAATTGAACACGACAACTCTTTCTGACACGAACACAGAGCTCTTTACAAGGCAAAGTTTTGTATGATCTGCAACGCGGGATATACAAGGAGCACAGAAAGAAGTTTAACTCTGATGAGCAGTTTGATTGAATAACAGGGCGAAATTTGCTTAGTTCACCAGAAGCCTCGCTTTGACTTTTGTGCCTGAAGAAGTTGGGCATCCGGGTCGTTTTGTATTGCTGAGCACTGCATGTAGCATCAGCTATGCGTTCACATCTGTCTTTTGCTGCAAAAATAAAACAATTTTTTAGATTACCTGAAATAATCCGTTTCTTAGTCAGCTAAATCATTTCCATTGGCAATGATCTTTGGCAGGAAACCCCAAAAAAGTTAGTTAATCGCTCATTTTACCTGCAGTCTGTTCGTTAATCTAAGACACACAATAAGACTGTAAGACAGTTAGCCAGTCTTTTACCAAGTCATTTCGCCGTGACTGTCCGTTGCACAGTCTTGCGATAAGAGCGTCATTCTGATTTTTAATCAGTACAGGTTCAGATAAAAATGTTAACAATCAGTCCCCGATAATCTGTAGATTGGGTAGAACGCGCCTAAGAAATATGAGGCCAGCGGAAAAATAGTCTCCTTCGCAGCCGTTATTAGGGTCGTCACTCGTCACGCAACGCTCCTCCCCACTAGGAGCGTTGCGTGACGAGTGACGACCCTAATAACGGCTGCGAAGGAGACTAGCGGAAAAAGGGCTGCCGTCAAACGTGACTCTAGTTTCACGTTCACGTATCTTATGTACCTGGTTCCAGTGGCTTCATAGCTCAGTTGGTAGAGCATCGCACCGGTAATCGCGAGGTCACGGGTTCAAACCCCGTTGAAGTCCTGAATTTTTTTCAGGCTTATTTACGCACTTGCATAAATTGTGTTCACTGCGACGATCATTTCTTCTCTTTCGTTTCATTTCCGCAGTTCATATATGATTTATTTCATATATCATTAACACTAATCTTACCTTCCGTCGGGCGTGGCGGTTGGGTCGTGACTGCAGCGATGGTCGCCAAGTCCACGCATATTCCAGGGTCATTCCTCTCAGGGAACTTTTCACATGCCATGCTCTCTGGCCACGAATAACCAAACTTTTGTAACAAAGGAAGACACCCATTCTTTACTCGGTTACAGAGACCCCTACATGGCGGCAGCGGTCTATGCAGGATCGTGCAAATAGGTGCATAGAGCGAACACAGAAATAGTGTCAAGTACGAAGAACAGTTGGTTAGTACCAAGGGGTAAAACTGATGAACTTCCAAGGCTGCCTCCCCTTGGGTTTTGTGATGGACAAGGTTGGGAAACATCGTCATGTTGTATGGTAAGTTTTGGCAAAATGGAATCGTCAAAACCTGGCATTTGCCTGAGAAGAAAACAAATTAAAGGAGCTACAGGTCACGAAATTCATCAAAATTCAAACATTGAGAACTTCCGCCAAATTGAGTAAAATATGAAAATATCCGCTCAAAACACGAGGAGAAGGAATATTTATGTAAACAGAAGATTAAAACGGATTGGAGTAGTGGCTTTTCAAAACTTGTTAGCCAAACAGTTTTTCAGCGTTCGTTTTTGCGCTTTTGTAACTTTTGATTTAATGCTTTGGAGACACCTTTGTTTGTCGTGAAGCTGTGATTTTCATATTTAGAAGTAGTTTCTTCACTAACGCTGAGTACCATAGAGAAAAAGAACTTGGCAATTTTGAAACAGCCCCTTTCCAGAGAATTTATGAAGTTTTCAGTTATTTTCACCTTTGTAAACTATTTTGAAAGAGGCTCACGACCAAAAAGCAAAACAAGTTTTCAAATTAATACATAAAAGCTGGTAAAAAGTCAAATGCACATTTCTACTGTTAATACCAAATTTATGTTTCCACCACTTAACAAGAAAGTTGATCAACCCTACATGTTTTGAAAAATTTTATGTAAGTTCATGCTGAAACATGCTTCTCACGATTTTAAAGTTTTTATGACAAGAATTCCACTGACAGTGAGCCTTTGCTTCGCGCATCAAGGTATGGAAATATCGATGGAGCCTGGTGGACAAGGAGGGTGACAATGGTTAAGAAGACACGTCTTAAATAAATCTTACCTGGTACAGGTGGTGGCCTAGAAATAGCCACTTCAGTTGAAGGCCCCATGTAACAGCTAGCCTCATCTTTACGTGGGAAGTTTTTACATTTGAGATCCGTTGGCCATTGAAAAGAATTTTGTCTGTGGACTTGATTAATGAAACGCTTGCACTGCGATCTTGTTTGCACACAGAATTCTCTGCAAGGAGGCAAATGGGTCTTGGAGCCTTCACAAGATGGAGCGTACATTGGGCACAGAAAACGGGCTAACATGGACGAACACTCTTTAGGAGCGACTAAAAAGAGGTCATTGAACCGATTAAAGCTTGCGCGGACAGCCTGCTCAGTCACATGATCAAAGTAGTTAGGCATCTGTGCATACCCGGGTGGAAGGGTCTCGTTGTTTGCCATGCATTGGGTTAACATTATTGGCTGACATCCTGTTGCTGTGTGGGCAAATAAGAACGAAAGAGATGCATGGCTTTCATCACAGGTGATAGCTATACACAAAAACTTCAAGCCAACAACAGTACGTGCTAAATAAATAAAAGCATTATTATTTAACCCGTTTTTTAAATGCTTTGCGAGAGTAGCCTCAGGTCGTTAGAATTTTTTTGTTTTAATGGTTGTCCTAATATTTGACACCAACCCTAAGTATCAAGCTGTAAAAACACTCAGTTAACAGCCTCTTTGCCTCTGAAAATTCAAGAGAGTTCTTCCTCGTGTTCAGTCGATGCATTTCTCTCTTCATTTTCAGACTTCTTTCTTGATAGCGCGATGAGCTTTATTCCAAGTTACGGATCAAGGAAATAAGACCGGGGCATAGTACACCAAAGTTCGACATCGTGCATGGCTATCCCTACACACGAAGCACTCGTGGGGATAACCCCGCAAAATTAAGTTAAACTTTTGATTTGCAAAGTTTTGTCAAAATATTGAAATAAGTACGCAGTTTACGCTTAGAGATCCGATGTTTACACAGATTTTGCATAATTCGCCTCTGGTAACTTGTTAAAAAACGACTTGTATACAGTCAAAGCTCTAAAACCGACCTCGAAGTCGCGCCTATTGTTGGTCTTGGGGAGGTGAATGTAGACTGCAAAACAGTCCGTATTTTTGCGTATTCAACTAAGCGCTAGCAGTCAAACAAAATGTCCGGAACGAGGCTGAAAACAGAGAGCGAGACTGGGGAGAGAACCTTCGCCCGCTTCGCGTGCGCAAGAGTCTTGCGCCACGCTTTACCGATTTCTTTACTGATTTTGAGAAAAAAACCGACTGTTTTGCAGTCTAAGGTGAATGATGAAAATGTTGAACTCGAGGGTGTTTGTGTTACAAAGGAGTCCGTTATTATAGTTTTAATGGTACGTGTTAAATAAATTGAAACAAAGATGGTGAAGACTGATTTCAAGTTATTTCTTACCAAGTGTGTTCTTTGGCCACGATCCATTAAAACACTGTGATGTAGCCTCTTTAGGATGATTTCGACATTTCATTGCTGAACCTAAGTTGATTCCAAATCGCTGGAGTTCTTTCCTACAGCTCTTCATAGCGCGCTTGCAGAGCTCTTTGCAGGGAGAAACAGGCTTCTGGGTACCATTACAAGGAGGTGCCAAAATGGAGCATAAAAAGGGGGCCATATCAGGAGAGCACTTGCTTTTTAAGAGCCGGTCAAATTTGCGTTTTATCGCTAGCTTGGCATCGTCTTGTGACCGGTGATTCAAGAAGTTTGGAAACTGGGTCGTAGTGTATGGCATATTTTGACAGAATGAAATTGTTATAGGCTCACAGCGATGTGCACCTACAGAAAGGAATTAAGAAAACAAATTTAATCAATCATCAATCAATCATCGGCAAACAAACGCATAGCTTTTTTGCCACACACAACAAGAGCTGATTAAATAAGACATTAAAAAAAGATTGTAGTGTAACGCTACCACTAACTTCACACACAACCCCACCCCTCCCCCCTCTCCACTCGTCTCCACACGTCAAAGGCTGATCCGCATCCTGCCCCTCAAAAAAGAAAAGTAAAAGAAGGGTGTGGCATTCACGTAGGTTTGATCCATGCACCCTCTGGTTCGAAGTAAACCCAGGTATCCCTTCGTCAACTCAGACACAAACTTGGTTATCTCAGGTTGCACCCTCCCCTCCGTTAATCAAAAACCTGGTCGATGCAACTTGGAATGGTCGGTATGCGCAGCTAAAACTGACAGCAGAAATGTATAGGGAAGGAATCAAGATAACATTAAGCGGCAAGGAACGGCTTCATTCTGACTTGTAATGTTTGTTTTGTAATATTGCAATAGTAAAACTTACAGCAATATAATGTTGGTTTATATGATTTGCTTTCTTGCTAAGAATAGATATATCTTGGGTTGCACGTGACGTCACCAAAAATCAAACTAAGAAACTATCGATTCCTCTGAGTTTCTACTTCCACGAGGTATTACAGTACCTAAACACCTTTACATAAACAAATTTTTGGTTCGAAAGGGTTCTTCGTTTTGCGAGAGAGGACGCTTGAATTTCCAGGCTTTTGCGTGACGCAGCATTTAGCTGGCGGCCGGGAAAGCTCTTATGTGGGTTAATTTTAACATTACCGATTTTGGGAGATTTTGCAATCTAAACATTCGTTGTTGCAGAATAAATGTTACTGTAATCTTTATGAGTTCCTCAAGCGAAGAATTCACGCATTAGTAGGAAAAATCGAAAACAGACGTTTCTGTTGGTATCCGGAGGCCATATTGGTGTTCCTGAAAGGGACACCAACATAGACTACGAGTAGTCCCCCATTTTTCCTCAGGGAAAGTAGAGCGAGCGAAACGCGAGGGCGCGTGAAAATCACCCCACGCGAGAAAAGGCGACACGCTCCCCGCCGCGTGTCGCCTTTTCTCGCGTGGGGTGATTTTCACGCGTGCTCGCGTTTCGCTCGCTCTACTATCCCTGAGGAAAAATGGGGGACTACTCGTAGTCTAACACCGAAGCTTTACAAATTTAGGTAAACCGTTTTTCCCAATATCTCGCATTTGAAATATTTCACAGACCTGATTCTTGGCAAGGGTTTTTGTATATTTATCTTTTTTCATTTCCCAGATTCTAGTCCTTCTGTATTGAATGGTTTGCATTTTTATTTTTCATTGCGTGACAGTGCAAGCCGAGAACACATGGTTTACTTTGCACGATTTAGTTGCAATAGAAATCCTGTATGGTGGGTCTGTTTTCATATACTAGTTATTCAATGTTTTCGAGCAGTATACAGAGAAATATCTCACGAACGACACACGAGCCTTTAAATTAGATAAGGCATTAACCTACCTGGCTGAGACCTTAAAAGCCGCACGCGTTTGCCTCTCATCTCATCACCTCGAGAGTTTTGGCGACCAGCCAAAGAGTAGGAACTGTTTGCCTTGTCTTGACTCTCTGTTTAAATTGAAACAGTTTCGTTACAATTTGAACCGTGGTTTTTCTCCTTTTTCGTAAAAATTACTTAGCATCGAAGCGTCGCGCGGTCATTTCGGGCTTGTCCTATTCGCGCGCACACTCTCGAGGTCCTCTTTTCAACACCCCGGGTTCACCACCCTCATAAAAATATTTGCGTCTGTTCACTAGCCTGCGAACAGCAGACGCATTTCCGGTCGTCGCTTCTCTCGACCGGAAATGCGTCTGCTGTTCGCAGGCTACGTGTTCACGACCCACACAAAAATTTTTGCGTCGGCGTTGAACTGATCGAAAGCCTCAGTAAAGCATTTCCGTTATTATGCTCACCTTTTTTCGGTCAATTTGTTTCAAAACCAATTTTTGCTAAAACTTTAACTTCAATTTAAACTTTTTTAAAAACATATGAGGAAATTCCAAAACTTCATCATCTCGCAGGGAGATTGTCATCGCCAGACTAAATTATTTAACTATGGTAAACAAACCTTGGGGCTCCTTTGAATTACAGCTATTTGACACATATCTTTGATGACATTTTCTATGGCCTTCCGTTACGCCGGTCACATGTTGATCCACGAAATAGGACTTGCAACATGGAATACTTATTTGACCGTCTCTATACTCATTCAAGAGCTGAGTTACTAAACATTCTGCTTCTTAGCTCGTCCGAAGGAAGTCGCAAATAGCCGGATCTCCCTAGGAGCTGACGCCTTCGGCGCTCGTTTAAGAAATCGGTCAGTATATGTTATCCTAGGTCCGCGCCTGAAAGAACCTCACTTACAATCCCTGCTCAAAAACCTAAATTGTGTGCAGCCCATTACAAGCCTCTCCCATTGTATGAATCCTAGTAATATTTAGTTATAATGGTTAGGTTCCTCGCTTGCAAGGAGTCAGCCATCAGCTTGGAGCTTGCTGCACCTAGTACAGTGGTGGCTGTGGAACCAGCATGTGAAGCAAGAGTCTAGGCACAGATCCCCTGGCACTTTTGCATGCCGACGGGTGAATGCACACTGCAGCGCCCGTTCTGCAGGCTACCTCTCCAATCTTTCGACTCCTGTGCAACTCTGTTCCTTTCAGTATAAAAATGGAAATGGGAACGATCGCCTGATCGCAAGTCATTGAGGATCGACGGCGCTCATTATCGACTTATTACGTCATAATTGAGAACAGAGTATACAGAGAATGTATAGCCATTTCATTAGCATAAGTCCTTTTTGCAAAGAGGCATTCATCTATAGGTGAGATAGTCAAGTATTACCTTGCCATCCCTTGAACTTTTTAAGAGTGTTTAACAGACTTCGTATTTCGCCCTGCATCCACACCATACCGATGATCAAAACAACAACTGCTGCGGCCATCAAAACCACGGCCATCAGCATGACGCGCTTTTCTGTTTTAGGCTTTACAGTCTTGTCTGCTGTCTTCTTCATGGCAAAACCTTGAGAAATATTGTCCTCTATTTCTACGTCTGTAAAAAGCTGTTGATAGTCCGACTTCAGATGGATTTGCTTGAAATGAAAGTCTTTGCACGGAATGCGGAGACTGAATGATTATCTTTAAAGGTCTCTGGTTACATTTTGTCGTCGCTGTTTTTTTTAAAAACAGACAGGTGTCAAAAGGGGCACTTCATACCCCGTACACGCAAGTTTTATCTCGTGAGCGATTTAGCTTCCGGGGAGGGGGGGAGGGGGGGTAGTCCCGCGTATAGAAGTCGAGATCAAAGCTATTTGGGTACCGTATGTTCTGCCCCAGGTATGCATGGTTTGCCCAGTTTGTTGGTCTGCAATCGGTCCCCGTTTTCGAGGGAACTTCGGGAGTGTATGAACCTATTTGTCGTTTTCATTTCTAAATGAATAAGAAAGGACAGAGTAATATGCGAATTCGAGATGAAATTCAAGAAAATCGTTTTGTTTGTTCTCTAGCACACTAAGTAACGATCCCGGGGGTGGGGTACTCCCATACATTACCTATACGGGTATGTGCCGCCCAAAGAGGTCGTGATTTTGAAGCTCCTGATTTAGAACGGGGTATCCATTTCAGAGGCGTTTTCTAGAACGGGGTATAATATTTCGAACGCACGAAAGCTCCACTTTTGTAAGCAGTCATTTGAAAGTATTCAAGGACAGATTGCTTTTAAAAACACGGTTCAATGCGTTAACAAGCAAACTGTTGTACTCTTGTTGCACCCTAGAACGGAGTATAAAAAATTGACCCATTTCTAGAACGGGGTATCAGTTTTAGGGCGAATACTAGAACGGGGTATAAAAAATTGGCCCATTTCTAGAACGGGGTATCAGTTTTAGGGGAAATTTTTTCTAGAACGGGGTGTCAATTTAGAGTCCCGGGCGGCACATACCCACCCAAAAAATACCCAAGTGCCCCCCCCGGGGTAACGATAACATCATTTCTTAGAGGCCCCGGGCCCGTTTCTCGAAAGCCCCGGAAACTTTCCAGACTTGTTGAATAGTGGCACAGTTCCTAGTCCCAAAGACCAGTCAATTTTGCTTCGTTAACTGATAGTTTCATTGCAAAATTTTCCGAAAATTTTTGAAGTGTGATCTTGAATGCAAACACAGCAAACACAACACTGCTTTCCGGGCCCGAAAAATACCGGGAATTTTGAGAAAAAGGGCCCCAGGTCTGAAAATGGGTATGGAAAATGACATTTTTTGAGTCTGAAGTAGGGTCACTAGATCACCCCACCCCTGTCACTGTATTCCAGGAGTACTCCCCCAGAGTTAACCTGCTAAGCATTTACACGCAGAACAAAAGCGCACAGAAACTGTGAAAGTAATTGTCGCGAAGTAGAGAAGCGACTGATCATGCCAGTACAATTCCATTAAGTGAAGAGCCGAAGAAAGGAGGAGAAGCGGAAAAAAAGCAATAGTTGCATTATTAGTTTAAATTTATAATGGCTCAGTAGTACTTCAGAGATTTCAAAAATTCGGCTAGATATATATCACCGTGTGTAGTGTCAGTAGGTGGATGGAGCTCGCCTACTACTTTTTAAGGGGAGCACACTTACCTAACGAGTGAGGATTGTTGTTTTTGTAACAGAAATATTATAAGGGTTTGAGCGAATGGGAATTTTAGCGATCGTTATTAATTAATTAAGGGGTCGAAAATAGCAATTAAAATACATCGGAAAGTTAGAAGTAATGCTCGGTAAAAACGCCCTGAAAAGACCAAAAATGCTAAGAACACACCATAAATTTAAAGAAATGAAGGTAAGAAATTCTCATGTACCTTTATTGCTATTTTTGACTCCCAAATAATAATCACTAAAATCGGCATACAAGGCGTTCAGCTTGTGGGTCGGTGCAAAGATTTGATATGTGAGCAGGAAAAAGGGGAGGTCTGACTTCGCCGTGCACGTCACCGCACTCCATCTGGGTCCATCTCACACTCCACTATCTGAACGCCTGGAACAGCCCTGGCCTCATATATCATATTTACAATTTCTGTTACTTAACACAACTACCTGCAAGGGGAAAAATACAGTCACAGCCCTTGCGAGGCTGATCGGACAGCTATGGGTAATTTATATAATTTATAAATTACCTATCCATAGCTGTCCGATCAGCTTTGTCGTCAATTTTGAGTGTTTACGGTATGTATCCTTGTTTTAGTCTAGAGGCCTTTAATCAAAGATGTGGAGCCGCACGTGAGGAAGTTGTCGACGTCCCTTTAGATTTTTCAGGTTTCTGAAGACCCTCTGAATACTTACTAACCAAGCGTATGTTAGCTCAGCCTCAATCTGTATGACTGAAAAAAGATTTGTCATAAAGAATCACTTGTTAAGCGTATGTTTACCTCTGGGAATATTAATTTAACCACTAAATTTCATGGCGAAAACTTTAATATGGATGGGCTCCTAAACCGGCTAGGTATGGAGGCTTTACTGGGTATTGATATCACTGTTGTTTTTTTAAACTGATCTGAAGTTGTTGTTGTTGTTTTTTAAATTGGGGTTAGGTCATTTTGGCGGGGATCATACACGCCATAAACCCCGGCCATAAACACTGTTGTTCGGAGGGTGGCTTATTAAAACGTCTAGACCAGGCTGTATTATCCATGCACGAGGACAACACGCGTATTAACACGGGTGCCCAGTCCATGCTCATCAACGTACACGCCGTGCAAAAGATCTTTCATACTGTACTGTGCTTCTATTCCTACTTGCCCTTGTACGGTGTTGATCTCTTGGAATAAGCTGTTGAACTGATCGGCAGGGTTTCTCAGTGGTTTCTAAATAACTGCAGAAGGCGAAGTAAGTTGTATTGTTTTCTCTCTTGCATGAATTAGCTTAATGGCACTATAGTGATACGAACATTTGTTGCTCGATGCGGTTTAATATGTCCGTAGTATTAAACATTATGAAAGCATCTTGTTAATGTAGTATTAACAATTTTATCACCCACACTATCGGAATACTTAAACACAGTGAAATTTCCTAGTTTATAAAATATTCGAGATTGAATTTTAATATTTCGGTCTCTGGGGTTAATAAGGGCCTCTGCTCGCAGGGTACGGGATTATGGATGAACTTGCCGTAAAAAGATTGCAATTCCACAAAGTTCGGCCGTATTCTTCCCCGACCGAAAAGAAAAAAAAACCAAACGGAAAAGAGGATACTCTTTAGAAAGAAATACTACAATGCAGTAAAGTTTTAACCTTTGTGATGATTTCACCGGGTAAAGAAGAGCTTTTGGTGTGCCCTTGAGTGACCTTTGATTAAAAGGGTCTTCAAACCCACTGATTAATTATGTAACACATGGTCATACCACGCCGTCACGCTAAAACTAATTTACTATTCCAGTATCTGACCTGTAGTTTGTCATGCGCGCGGCATGAACAGAGAGCACAAGGATTTTCAATTCACCTTTAGCACAGAATTGAATAAATAACTTTTCGATATTTTGAACAAGTTTTCAACTGCGGCGAGATAAAAACTTGGAAGCTTGGAAGTTTAAAGAAGGGATTTATCGACTTCAAACAAACAAGCAAATACAGTAATACGATTGCGTAACAGCAGTTTACAGGGTTATGTGCTCGCTCCTGTGCATATTAATTACTTAACTATTTGCCACAGTATTCTAGACTATGTGGCACTTCTTGAAGTGTCAACGCACAGTCACCGAGCGGATGACGAATTAACTTGTTCCAGGCTCCTAGGAAATCGGGTCCGAGAAACTGAGAAAGTGTGAACACAAATATGTGGGGCTTAGTACTGTACTGCAGGGTTTGCATAGTCTTGAAAAGTCCATAAATTTTCTTCAACTTTGAATGTGATGGCCCGAAAAGTATTTTTAATGCATTTTGGTTTTCCAAGACAGAATATAAATCAAAGCTCAGAGAAGTTATTGGTGATTTACATAGGGCGTCTTTTGTTTTATGCAAGAATTAACTATATAAATTTAAGACAAGTGAACTGACAAATGTTGCTGAAGCAAACAGTCAAGCCTTAAAGTCCGTGACATGTAAAAAACGGCTGCGAGGGAGACTAGCCACTAAGTGACTCTGTTGTTATATTTTAAACTGTAGCTTATGATTCTACTCGGCAAAATGGTTAATCAACCCTTGGACCCTGATCGTTCCTTTTAAAAAATATTTACAGCGCAGGCAATTTGCAACCTTTATACCTAAAGTTCTCTTTTTTTCTAGACAGACTAAAAAGAGACACCATGGCACCAAACATTGCTCATCGAAAGGCTGCAGTTGTAACGGAATCAGGGGAAAAATTCTCCCTGAAGGGGGCGGAAAAGAAAACTTTCATCACCGAGCAGACGCTTAAAGAGCACAACGGCGTGAATGGATCTCCTTCATGGATAGCAATCAAGAACAAAGTTTACGACGTAACAGGATTTGGTCGGGAGCATCCCGGCGGAAGTATCATCTTCACCCATGCGGGGCTGGATGCAACGGACGTGTTCAATGCTTTCCACCCTGCTTCTGTTTACAAATGGCTGCCTCGGTTTTATGTTGGAGAACTGGTGAGAGATCCCTGCTCCGATCCCTCTGATGCTGAAAAGGAAATGGAATATAGACGAGATATTACAGAGATGAAATCAGAGCTGTTGAAAGCGCGTGCATTTCAGTCTTCTAAGCTGTATTACGCCTTCAAGGTAGTATCAAATGCTGCAATACTTGCCGCAGCCATTGCTGCCATTAAAGTACTCAATGGCATGACCGGAGCAGTAATAGGCGGTGTTCTTCTCGCTCTCTTCTGGCAGCAATGTGGATGGCTTGCTCATGATTTTCTTCATCATCAAGTGTTTACTAATCGCTTCTATAACAATCTTGCTGGGCTGGGTGTCGGGAACATCTGGCAGGGTTTCTCTACTTCGTGGTGGAAAATGAAGCACAATCACCATCACGCTTCACCTAATGTGGTACATACCCAGGCAGGTGGCGATCCTGATATCCTGACAATGCCATTGCTGTTATGGTCTGAGAAGATTATTGAAGGCGACTCCGAAGAGCTGAAGGATCTCCCCAGATTCTTGATCAGACACCAGAAGTTCTTTTATTTGCCGCTTTTAGCTGCTGCGCGTTTATCGTGGCTGCTGCAGTCCCTACTGTTCCAGCTTGAACCCGTTCACCAGTTTGTTGGGGGCCTACCGATGAAGATCGCAGAGATAGTCACTATTGGCATCCATTACGTTGCAGTGGTGTATATCACGTTGCTATTAGAAACGGCTGCCTCACGAATCGTCTTCTTTTTAGTCTGTCAGTCACTCGGGGGCCTGTTCATCGCTGTTGTGTTTACTGTCGGTCATAACGCCATGCACATCTTCACAACCGAGGAAATGAGAAACACTGACTTCGTCCGCCTACAGGTTCGCTCCACGCGTGATATCACGCCTACGGTATTCAACATGTGGTTCAGCGGTGGTCTTGCATATCAAGTGGAACATCATATATGGCCGACCCTGCCACGTCATAGCTTACCTCTGGCGTCAAAGATTCTTCAGAGATTTTGTTCAAAGTACAATATTCCCTACACAGTCGAGGGACTGATCAAAGGAAACTTAGCGGTTTGTAAGCTGTTATCTGATGTCGGTAAGGAGTTTTAGAAACTTTAAATAGTCATTTTGTGTTCATTATTGTGACTTACAGTAGATTTTGCCATAGAGAGTAGCTATGCAAGGTGTACTTGTTAAATTGATTCATTATCGAGGTTGTCTAAGCATATCAGACAGTAATGTACGTCATTAATAAAACACCATTTTAATAACCATGACATTGTTTCCGGCAATTTGATTGTTTTCTTTTTAAAGGTTAATCGCAACACTTGTAGCCTATGGGGCGCAAAATGTAAAAATATTATTTAGGCAATGTTTTTCTAGTTTTTGTGCTATTAATAGCACAAGAGGTGTCTTGCGATTTATAAATAACGCAGACATCTGCGATATGTTTATCATAGATATCTATCTTTTCCCTGAAAAACGATTTATAAATTGCACGATTTCTGAAGTTGCAATTAATAAATCACAAGATACCTTACTTTGTGATTTGTAAATTACAAGTTTCTAACTGTACAATTTATAAATCGCAAGACACTTTACTTTGCGATTTAGAAATCGTTAGATGTCTGACTTTGCAATTTATAAATCGCAAATTTGCAATTTATAAATCTCAACTGTGTGTTTTATGCATCTCGAATGTACGATTTATAAAGCTTAGATGTGCACTCGAATGTGCGATCTCCCGGGGGGCGGGTGCGATTGAAGCAGCAAGTCAAGGATTTTGACGAGGCGGTGGAACATGCAGTAGAATCACTGGAGCTCTGCAATTCGATTATAACCACAACGCATCCATTAAATCCCCGGGGGGTACTCCTGGGAATTCTTGCTGGGAGTGTGCCGCCCTGTTATCCAAATCCTGACCCTATTTGAGACCAAAAACTGTCATTTTTTACACCCGTTTTCAGACCTGGCCTCCAAGAAATGATGTCATCATTACTTAGATTGGAACACCAACAAAAGCGATTTCTTAATTTGCCCATTCCTCTTTCTTTCTTACTCATTTAGAATTAAAAGGATACATACGTTCATTCACTCCAGTAGTTCCCTCGAAAACCATACCCGATACCAGACCAAAATGTGCAAAGTGTATACCCGTTTTCAGACCAAAACGGCGCAAGAACCCTACCCGATGGGGCGGCACATACCTATATGGCACAGACATCCCCCCGGATTGAATCTCGGCCGAACTTATTTTAGAGCAGTAAAAATAATCAGTTCGTTAAACGAAAATATGAGAACCATCTATGCCTGATTTGGATCATTGTGGGCCTCAGATATAGCTTTCAAAGCGGCTGATGAGAGACTTCTTTGCAAGATCCTTCCGCCATTGTTGAAAACAAGAATGACTTTCCCGCCAATTTTCTCGCCCAAATTTTATTAGAGTCCGAGCCTGCAGTAACGAGTTTTGCTCGGCTTGCGGCTTAAATCGCACATTTGCGATGTATAAATTGCATATCTGCGATTTATAAATTGCACATTCGAGATGCATAAAACACACAGTTGAGTTTTTTAAATTGCACATTTGCGAATCATAAATCACAAGTCCGACATCAGTCATGCGATTTAAAGTAAAGTATCTTGCGATTAATAAATTCAAGGGCACCCAACGACAATTTTCGGAAAAATATCTGTTCGGAAGACGATATTGAGATCTAGAATTTTCGGAACATTTGTTGTAAAATTTCTTGCTTGCCTGCCTCTCCTAGGATTTTCGAACATCTAATGATGGTAAAATTGCCCATTTTCAACGGATTTTTACCCTAAAAAGGTCACCTAAAATTTTCGGGAGCCTTTTTTCCGGCTGAAATTTTCGAACCGGTAAGTTTTGATCCCTATAATTTTCGGATCACTAGACTTTCAGCTAGGAAATCCGAACAGATCAAAAATTTATAGGGGATAAAAATATGCCCATATCCACCGTTTAAACACTAAAACACATTTAACAATGCTATGTTTAAGTGGTTTTGAACTATATTCTCGTTGGGTGCCCCTGTAAATTGCAAAGTTAGAAACTTGTAATTTATAAATCGCAAAGTGAGGTATCTTGCGATTTATAAATTGCAAAGTTAGAAACCTGTAATTTATAAATCGCTAAGCAGCGAAAAGTTAGATATCTGTGATTAACATATCGTGAATGTCTTGGAAAGCATTATGTACAACGCTGTGGCTATATGGCCGGTAACCGGTCAAGGTTTTCAAAACACTAAATGACCGGCAGTCCGGTATTTTCAATAAATTTGATATGTTTATCACAGATATCTAAATTTTCGCTGCTTAGCGATTAAAAATAGCACAAATTTTAGAAGAGTATTAACCAAATAATATTTTTACATTTGGCGCCCTGTAGCTACCCTGGGTGCCAGAGGCTTTTCATGCGCGGTTTCCTGCTAGCGCCGACCTGAGAGAAGCGACGATCGGAAACGCGTCTACAACACTCGGACGTAACGCCTCCTAAACTCTAACTTTATCTAAACAACAGTTGGTAATCATTATCAAAAGGGATATTAAAACTGCTAGATTATTTCCACATGGCCTTGTATTTGCTATGAAACAACAGAGAAATCATTCATTAGATCAGGAGAGATTTGAGACTAGTTTATAAGTTCACGTTTCCTCCTCAGAATTACAAATTGAAACCAGAGAAATATACCGGAGTGTCCTCTTAAAAAAGGTGTCCGTATGATGGGGTGAGGCTTTGTATAAAATCTGGTTTCGTTGAAACCGAGAGAAGCGTCCATGACCGTAAAAGAAGGCAACCTCGTTCCCCGGACGAGCTGCAGTAGAGAGAGCTGGAAGTTGGACGATTTTCAGCAAACCACAAACATTAAAATAATTTCGACCATCAAGAAAATTAGCGTGGTACTGATGTATTGTGAGAAAAATCGCATTAAATTCAACCCGCCAAAATTCGTGCCGCCTACATCAGAGGCGATTGATCGAGGAACTCCTTCAGAACTTCGCGCAACCCAGTGCGAATTGGGGCAAGCTTGTTCTCAGGGAAAATTTTGGAATTGGCGCCGGGTGCACAATACTGACTGAGATTGTTATTGTGAGTATCGTTACCCTGAGGCAATACCGGAAAAGGGCCAATACAATTGTGTCTTCTGGTATTAGAAGAACGTAGATTAGGTTGGCTGCGTTTAAAGAATAACTTAGAAATGTTTGTCCTCTGATCTAGCGGCCAAACAATTTCCCTCAAAGCCAATTATGCCCCTTTACTACTGTATAAGGTAACGTGAACTCTATCCATTAATCCTCAAGTGTGGACATAATGAACAACGTTGAACTGAGCACTGCTGTGAGCAGATGTCAACTTCGATTGCTGGATCGTTTCCCAAGCCAGTTAACAAATGCTCGCGTCCATCGGTTTTCTCGGACCAGTTGGAACACTTGACTAAATTGTTTTTAGTATACAATGATTCGGTTATCGACAAAGGGTGTTGACGTCACTTTCACTGTTAACTTAAACTCAGTGAGGGTTGAGCTGATCCATTGACTTCGACAATTCAACATGCAGATTCTGGCCTTCATCGCTATTTCTGCGATAACCTATCTGATTTATTCTCTCGTGAAAGCGAAGGGCAAAGAGAGAAAAAGATTCACTAAGCCTGAAACCGTTCTCCTTCACCAGGTCAGTCCAACCGCTTTATCTGTGAGTGGATCACCATTTTGTTTAAAGTTGGAAACGTTTCTCCGTATGACAAAAATTCCTTACGAAAATGAATACGGCATGAAATTTTCAAAGAAAGGAAAAGTGCCTTGGATAGAATTCAACGGCCAAGAAATTGCCGATTCTAACTTCTGCATTCGATTTCTCATGAAAGAGTTTCGAGTTGATTTGGATACGCATCTGAATTGGACGGACAGAGCCATTGGCCACAGCATACGCACAATGTTGGAGGAAAACTTTTATTGGTAGGTAACAGAATCTTAACTCAGAGAAGGTTGCTTCTTTGGTTTTGTTTGCTTCTTTGTTTGTTTTTGGTTTGAATGTTTTTTTGTTTTATTCTGTGGTTTTTTCAGTGGAATTTCATCCCCTAAGGATGTGTTAATATTATGTTGGACTCGCTGATTGATTCTCAAAAAGAAATGCTAATGTCGGGTGCCATGAAGGATAATGAAACAAACTGACAGTGAAATAAAAAACAGTAGCAACTCAAGCAATGGAGAGATTTGATATTTGACTTGATGCGAAAACGTTGTCAGTTAATAAATGTGTAGATATAGATTTATAGCCACGTGTAAGATTCAAAAGATTCGCAAATATGGAAATTTCTCAAAATAGAAAAAATGAACAGAAAAAACAGTCCAAAACAATACGATGCAATTCTTATGGATAAAACTAAGGTGAAACTACTAATGTTTATTAAGAAGAAAGACAAGTACAAAGGGAAAACTTGGTCACGTTGTACAAATTTACGCTTGGCATTAAAGTGACTTTGTTGAGAAAAACATCCGCAAAATTTCTCCTCCTCAAGTTAGTCCCACACTTGATATTCCCGTTGCATGTTGCACTTGACTAGTGATTTATTTACAGCCTATTGATTTCTTAATCCGTCTTACTCGTCTTATACTGTTCTTCAGTGATCAAGGCTATAAGTTCAAGTTCAAGTTCATTAAACACTAAAGGACACATATTGAATAACAACTACGAACTTCAAGCTTATAAACATGGTGCATTATTTCAGGCCAACAGAGGTAGACATGTGCTATCATCGACGTAACATGATAGCCTTTTCACAGACCCTCTAGTTTTCTCTTCAAAGTCCGTCGAGCGCGCGTGATAAAATATCAACGTCTGTGTACAACTGCTCGAATTAAATTCGACTTAAGCACGGCAGTAGCGTGACGTTTGACACCAAGTCGTGCTATAGCCTGCGTGGCGGGTGTTTGAAAGGGGAGGGAAAGGAAGTTTTAGGCGCGAGAGGAGGGAGGGAACGAAACGCCTGTTAGGAGACCATTGTATTTCTCGTTTGTAACATCCACCAGGCGAATGTTAAAATCCTGATTGGTCAGTCTTCAAAACATGTCAATCACAGCCCTAATACCTTCATCCGATTGGTTGAAATCAACATCAGGCTATTGAGTAACTTAATCGATCTTTCAACGGCTTGTTTTACTCACTAGAAGAAAGAAAGGAAAGCCAGCTGTGTGCTTGTTATCTGCTGTTTGACCTAATACGCCTACCACGCAGGCTACGCTTTATCAACGACCAGATTGTTGAAGACGATTTTTGGTCTTGCTTGTTATAGACGTTATTAAGCCGCCAGGAACTTACTTTAATAATTGATTGCAGCTTTCTTGTAGATCTTCGAAGTTCAGCTCTTCTTTCCCTGCTACCAGCGTTCTTTTGTATGCTCCGCTGGATTCAATTCGAGAGCTAGCAAAGTATTTCTCAGACAAACATTGCATGCAAGTTACGACGTCCAGCACGTTTCCTTCAGCAAACGACGTATTTATGCTGGATTTCATATAACAAGTCACGCATCGTTGCAACTTTCTTCTTTCAACAGACGACCACATTTGAACCTTTTTTTATATACATATAGTACATACCTTCACTCCCCTTCACTTCAGTTTTCTTGTTTTAGGAAAACAAAAGCTAAAAATAAGTGTTTTGCGGCCAGACTTACTTGACAGCTGGTCATTCACAGTTGTGTTATTTTTGCATACGTAATTAGTAGGCGGGATGGCGAAAACAATGGTCTCCTGGCGGGAGTTTCCTTCCCTCCCTCCTCGCCCGCTCCGGCCCCCGGGTCCGGCCCTCGCGTTTCTCTCGCGCCTGAAACACCCTTTTCCTTCCTTTTCAAACGCCTGCCACGCAGGCTAGTCATGCTACTGCCGTGTAGCACGGCAAGCCTTGCCGTGCTGCACGGCAGTAGCTAGACTTGGTTTCAAACGTCCGCTACCGCCGTGCCGAACTCAATTCATAAATTATAAATACATTAGAATACATTTAAAAGTTTGCTAAACCGCTATATTTTTGTGCTTTGTTTTCGGCAACAGCCGTTCTATTCGACTGAATTGAATTCGACGTCTGAAACTAAGTCGTGCTAGTGTCGTGCTGCAGTCGAGCTACAGTCGAGCCAGCTTGGCGCGGCAGTAGCACGACGTTTGAAACAGGCCTAACACGATTACTGAAGTGATATAGTACCTCTTAGATCGTTGACATTTTAGATATATGATGTCATTCTCGTAGCGTCATTCTTGTACAGCTTTCGCTAGAAGACCTAGAATCGATTTACGCCGCTCTCTCCTTAAACTTTTTATTTGTACCACTCTGGTAACGTTTGCAATCTCCGGTACACAAGCTATGACAGCCAAATCGGACAAACTTCGACTTTCCAAAAAGACAGAAAAACCAAAAATTGAGTCACAATACTTGTACGATTTGGAACTTGGTTGATGCTATAATTAAACGCAAGGTCCCAAATGTAATATTAACAAACTTAGTGTCCATAAAGATAACATGTCTTTTTTGTCAATCAGCCAGACTCAGCGGTAATTCCTGAATTTTACTTGCTTCTTCAGTGGAACCTTCGAATAACGAAGGGCCAAGGGACCAGCCAATTTTTTTCGCTATAACGAGGTTTCGTTATATCAAGGTTCTTTTCCATATCTTTTACTATTACTGGGGTAAAGAAAATCGACATATCATTGCATGTATAGCAAGGTTCAACGTACAAAAAACCGCCACATTTGCCCAATCCTTCATGGTGGAGCTAGTCAGCATGTTTTTTTTTTTGTAAGCAAAACGTGAAAAAGCAGGACTGACTATAAAGGTCTGAAAATGAATATATTAGAGTAAAAACTTGACACTAACAAACCGCGGGCCCTGTTTTAAATTACAAGGTAATAAAATGAAATACATTAAATTGAGAATATTTAAAACCTTAAAAAAAATTACTTGAATGTTTGAAAAACTGAAAAGTCATCAGATAACATTAAAACCAGGTCTAACACCCATCAAATTAATTTACACAATAAATGCTGATTTTTAAAAGTACTTTTTCAAATAGTGTTTTTTAAAGCAATGAGTGTGCATAGTTTCCACATAGACAGAGGTAATCTATTCTAAGCCTGCTAACCAGCACTGATCGATAGTAGAAGTCTCTCCGTTTTACAATTGACAAGCTCTATTAAAACTGGCATTCTTCGTCTGCCTGAGTGCCAGTCTCGTAAGTAAGCTTGTGCCCTCGCATCCTCGGAGACCCAGGGGCAGTCAGTCAGTTTTCAAGCACAGGCGGAAGAGCCCCTGGGTACCGACTCTCACCGGACCATTTCCAAACGGTCAAGTGAATGCTGGCTCCTGATTGGGCACAAAAAATGCTTTGTATTATTGTGCCCAATCGGGGAACAGCATCTCCTGAGTTCTTTTCGTGAGTTCGTACACGACGCGACAGCTATTGACTCGATCACGGCTTGTCTGGCTCATGCACCAAACAAATGCACGCAGTCAGGAAACTTTCAGTTTGATATAAACACTTTATTTCAAAATACTGGTTGGTTGTCTTTACACTAGGCTGTTAAGTAAGACTTAAGAGCCGCTAAGTTTTACTTAACCAAAAATTCGTGTGTGAAGGCCTAAGTAAAATCTCAAGTAACTTTGCTTTGCATCTCATTAAAGTCGGAAAGTTGAAACGGTTCAAGAAAGTTTCAAGCGACTTGAAAACCATCCTTATGACCTACTTAGCTGACTTGCGGTTTTGCGGTTTCTTGAGCTTTGAGAAAGGCGAGACATGTCAATCAATCTTAATTTTGTTGCGTGGGAAAATAACCTGAAGTAAAAAAGAATCGGTTGTGTGTGAAGCTTTATTTTACTTGAAGTAATTAAAACTTACTTGTCTTGAAATATTTCTTAGCTTATTTAGGCTCTAGTGTAAAGACTACCACTGTCTACCCGAAAACTAAAGACGCTTTTCCAAAAATACAAGCTTGAGCTTACAACAGGTATTCATACTTGCATCGATCATGCCTTCGTAAATCTTAAGGAGTTTAAGATTCCACGACAGCTGACAGCCACGAAAACGTCGCATGAAAAGTGAATTCACATTTTTCAAGTCTCTATCGTGATTCTCCCAACTCGCTTACTTTGTCAAATGCAAGCGAACTCTTCTGGAGCTGATTTTCTATCAACCATATCCAAGTTCATAAAGAGAAAGAAAATTTTGTCATTGTTTGTTTACCTCCTTCACAAAACCTGAAATTAGGCATCTTCACGTGGTAGTCGTGCAGTGACGGCAAAGAAATCTGCAAAATGCGTGATGCACGTGCAAAGTTGTTGTTTTGCCTTGTCAAGCTATTGCTTTTTTATTATCTCGTCGCCGCCGCATCTTAAACTTCCTATTATCTGATTATTTACGATACATTGTGATCCGTCAGAAACAGAATTTTCTCAGTGCAAAATGAATTGTTCCTGCTGATAGCATCCGAAACGTTTTTCGACTCATCGGTAGGTCCTTCGTTTCTGGTTAGGAAAGTAGAAAATGGAAGTTTCCCTTGTACGCACAAGCTTGGTGAACGAACCGGGCAACTGTGGCGACATAATACCCATCGTGTACGAACTCACGAAAAGAACTCACGAGAAACTGTTCGCCGATTGGGCACAATAATACAAAGCATTTTTTGTGCCCAATCAGGAGCCAGCATTCACTTGACCGTTTGGAAATGGTCCGGTGAGAGTCGGTACCCAGGGGCTCTTCCGCCTGTGCTTGAAAACTTTCGTCGCGCCTTTTCTCCCGGCCCGACTGACTGCCCCTGGGTCTCCGAGGATGGTGCCCTCGTAATCGCATGGTTTTCACAGTGACGTCATCAATGTAAAGTCAAAATAGCGAGGTTTTACGATTTCTAATTTACACTAGTTTGAAGGTAAACAAAAAATAAATCTTTGTACAAGTTTCCATTCTCGTAACATATTTCATTTCGAAAATACAGCAATTTGAACTTCCGAGTTTTTACAGTGCGTGACACCAAAATAGGAATGCTGTCTCGTTGAAAAAAAGTCTCTCCTCTTGATTTTCAGCAGTATAACCATTTCAAGCATTAGAAGATATGTTTATGAGCACGTATGCTAGTTCTCGAGTGAAAAGAAAGGGCTTTTATAGAAAAAGTGAACTCCAGATGTTTTTGTTGATTTCCGGCGGCCATATTGGTGGACCAAAACGGTACACCGATTATGGCGTCTCCTTACAAAGTTCTACTGAGGTGCATGAAACGTTTCGGCAAATAACTCAGAAACTGTTGGCCACAAAGACCTGAAACTTGGACAAATCATTTATATTTTAGTCTTTTATAACATTTCATTTTCTTGGCTTCTTCCACTGGACGGTTTCCAAATTTATTTTTTTGTTGCGCGACAGTGAAAACGAGGCACGACCTGGCCTCTTCAGGGAATGACTTAAGACAATGGTTAGCAAAATTTTAGCATGGCCATCACAAATTAACAAGAAGGCAAATATACATAATAGTCATGAAGGGTGTGTGCTAGACAAACAGTATAGCATGCAAAAACATCCGTTTCTCGTTTCTCCTCGCTCTTCGTCGCTGGGGACGTTTCGCGCGGAGGAACGACGTTCCTCAGCTCGAAACGTCCCCAGCGGCGAAGAGCGGGGAGAAACGGATGTTTTCGCAGGCTACAAACAGTACAGCTAAAAAGCACTTCCGCAGTTCTGTATTGGTAGTAACGAGTTGCATGCGTTTCCCTGCATGTTTCATTACGCAATCCTTTCTGCTTAGCAAAACGATCGTGTCCCCAATTTGAATCCTTTAAAAGAGTACAAGTTTACAAGTTTACTTACTTCTTTACTGGAGTGCGTGACTTGATTTTGATTTCGGTCTTTTTTGTTTGTTTGTTAATAGGACTATGTCGCATTATTGCTGGTTCTCCGACTACGCCGCAGAAATGAGAGAAAAGTTGCTTGGTCAGCTTTTTCCACCTCTTAAGTATCTAGCCTATTTCATGCTAAAAAGACAAGTGAAAAATTACTTGTGGAGCCACGGTATGGGCCGCCATAATGAGCAGGAAATTTACGGTATTGCTGAAACAGATCTACTGGCGGTTTCTGGAATCCTGGGCCAAAAGAAATTTCTGTTTGGTGACAAGCCTTGCTTAGCTGACGCTGGATTATTTGCTTTCACCGCCTGTTCAGCTTGGGAATTGCCAGCGAGTCCTTTTGCTAAAATAATCAGAACAAAAGCTACGAATCTTGGTGAGCACGCTCAGAGAATGAAAGAATTGTATTATCCGGATTGGGATAGGATCATCTCCAAGAAAAACAAATCTGAATAAGCTGACAATAATCTATAGAATTTGGTATGTCTTTTTGAAATGTGAGTCATTTTTCACCTGCATGGTAGTACTAGTAAGAAGATTAGACCTTATCATGGTTTTGGAAGCCATCTTGACGGGTAGGCAACCACATGAGAAATTACAGTGTTTGTATATATGTGTCGGGGAATCTTTGTCGAATAATTTTCGTAAAACGGCTGTTCTGCCAAATAAAAAAAAAACAGGAATTGTAAACTCAAGCTTCACAACAAAGTTTTGTACTAGCAAACTCTGGGGGCCGCAGCGGAAAAAAAAGTCTTATACACAAATCTGCAGAAAATTTTAAGAAGGGGTTTTAGCGCAGTTAATTTTGTCAATAAAATCCTTTCGTGTGTAACTTTAGTATACAATTCATTAAAAAAGCCGGCCGTTTGACAAAAATTATTGGACATTAGATTCTCAAACAAACACTGTATTTTTTTCACGCGGTTGCCTACCCGGCAAGATGGCTTCCAAAACTATGATAAGGTCTGTATAGTGAAAGAATATAAACTATATAATTATGTATTGTCCTGTTTAGTTGCCATCCCATTCTAGAATATAAGGATAATTGATGTGCACGTTAAAATTTCTCGTGTAGCTTGATAAATAATATTTAAAAGTAATTGCAATCCAATCGCCCCATGTAAAGGTGTCCGGAACCCTGGACATTGGAATCAGGAATACAGCTCAAGGAATCTGGAATCTCTCCAACGAATGGAATATGACAGAGAATCCGGAATGCAGTTCCTGTAATTCGGACTCAGAGGCGGTGGAATCCAGAATGCAAGACTGTTTTGGATTCCCTTACTTTATATGGGGGGCGTCGAACGTCTCTCGACAGACACATCGTATCGCGGGCCACCTTACAATACGAACAGCCCTCCTACAGGGAGGATACTTGAACCTGCTGCCGTCTGTTTGGTCTCACTAGGGAAGTTAAGCACCAGACGTTCTTGATTCATGAACGGCATGGCTGGCCGCGCAGAACTGGATCGGGGACGCGGTTTACGCGCCTAACGCAAATCATTAAGCAAACCAACGTTGAAAATGCCTTTCAAAGATTGTACTACGCTTTTAAAGTTCTAACATAACAAAAGAACATACAAGGATTGAAACTTGTTATATTTTACATCAAATGTTAACAATTTTAACTGTGTTCATACTCACGTTTCTGAACCTCTGGTTTCAACCTGAGAACTCGCGTTTTGAAGTCCGTGACTGCAGCCCAAGAAAGTCTCGACATGAGCAGTGGCTGTCATGCTGCAAAAATACTTCCGGTTGGCGTCCGTGGTTCCAAGAATGTCTGGTGCTTAAGTTCCCTCCTGTATCAAGATTACGCAACTTTGTCGCCATGATTTGGCATTGGATGGCTTTGTTACTATGCAGCAAATAGAAATAAAATACTGCAATATAAATCTGGCCGGATTTTTTAAAAAGGTTATCGCCAAATGGACCTTTTGCGTCCAACAGTTTTTTGTCCGCCAAAAACTCTCCAAAAAGTAGCTATTACAAAAACTGAGAGTACAACCATTGCTTTTTTCTCTTCTCCTCCTTTCTTCCTCCTCGCTCTTTCTTTTTCTCCTTTCCTTTTCCTTCGTTACTGTGATTGTGGAGCTTATCGGCAGTCAAGAAACCTGCCTTTTGACGCCTTTTCACTCAAATGACTGCAAAATCATAGAATTTATGTTATACTTAGGAGATGACTGATGCACTGATAACGGGTATTCTATCTATGCTGGCATGAACAAAGAGCAAGCTGTTTAATAATATAACAAACCAAGCTTAATAACTTTCATCGCCACCAAGTACTCATTTAGTAGTTCCAAGACAAATCTTGCTGGGCTGGGTATCGATAACATCTGGCAGGGTTTTCCTAGTGACTAGTAGTGAAGGGACCCTCACGTGGTGTCCTCACATTGCCATCGCTGTTGTGGTCAGACTACAAGATCAGTCTGAGTACAGATCCTCCCAGATTTTTTATTAGATATCAGAATTGCTTTTGCCATTATGAGTTTTAAACTTGGGCTGCTACGCAGCCAGTTTGAGTCTCCTCAAGGTTTTTCGGTGTCCTTTTCAGTATAGCCCCTCTCCCTTTTCCCTTCCTACCCCTCCTCTTTCAACTCTTGTCACTCAGGCTACTTCAGATGAAGATTACCAGTGTATCCATTAACTTGCAATAATACCATCGTAAAAATGTCCTTGGCAGTCTGTAAAAAAGTGTAATGACCAACCGCGACTCAAGAAATAAACAAAAATCACGATATCTAAAGGTGTCGTGCTGACCACACCCTCGTCCGGGGCAAGGGTTGTTTGAGCGGTAGCAATTCGATCGGGGGACGATAAATCATCGAGATCGGTAGAAATTGGGCTAAAAAGCGCACAGATGAAAAAGTTAAACCATCGCCGCTGAATCGTAGACACTCTTGTTCTTTGGCCATCTTAGTTTAACTGCGGTAATAAAATTGGTTTCTTTCCAGAAATGCGTTTATTCCTTATGATGATCTCATACAAATCTTCACAATCTCCGAACTGACGGTTGCTCCAAAATACTTTACATGTTATGCTACGTTTTAAGTCGCCCATTGAATGCTGATATGGTTTACTGAGCGTGGGCCACAAAAGGCGAAACCAGACTTTATTTATATACCAAAAATCTAAAACAGAATAAAGTGATGCAAATGCGATACGATGCGATGCGATGCGATACGGTGCTGAAAAAATGAGTAAACAAAACAAAGTGAAAACAAAATAAGTTACACGTACTGGACGAAGAGAAGCAGGAAAATCGACAAACGAAACAAAAGCGAACTTACAAGACGATTATGACTTCAAGGACAAAATACCCGATATGTGCTGACCTGACTGAACAAACTGATAACAATGAAGCAAAAACTGCGGCCAAGCTAACGATATACGACACGCCGAAACACCTAACATATAAGAAGAAGGTAAGAGAATAGCAATAATTTTCGGTGGGAGAGAAGCAACGACCGGCCGTCTGCGCTTCGCAAGCTAGTAAGAGAACAATAAAGGGCTAATAAACAAAATAATAGCAATTAAGGCGTGAACTAAAAAATCACTAGAAGCCAAGCTAGCTTGGAAAGCTTCACATACGACTATTTCCTAAATTGCGCTAATTTTCCACTGCTACATATCAATCGATATGGTGGGTCTATCTTATGACGTCACTATTATAAGAGGTGCCCTTTTTAATAGTTTATTTGTGCATGATTAGAGTTCTTTGCGTTACAACCGCACGCGAGCACAGAACTCTCTCCCGGTTGTACTGGAAATATCAGCTCACTGTTAAAGATGCACATTTTAGTCTACTTTGGAGTCCCTGCCATTGCTTTCATTGCAATTTATTTCATTGTGAAGAAACTGCAAGGTAAAGAGAACAAGAGATTTATCAAGCCTGCTACAGTCCTTTTGCACCAATTACCTCCCTCCGATTTAGCTGTAAGTGGATCCCCACCGTGTTTAAAGCTGGAAACTTTTCTTCGAATGACAAAAATACCCTACGAAAGTGAATACGGTATGAAGTTCTCAAAGAAAGGAAAAGTGCCCTGGATCGAATTCAACGGCCAAGAAATTGCCGATTCTAACTTTTGCATTCGATTTCTTATGAAAGAGTTTCGAGTGGATATGGATTCGCATCTGAATTTCACGGACAGAGCCGTTGGTCACAGCATACGTAGAATGTTGGAGGAAAACACTTATTGGTAGGTAAACAAAAACTCGTAGTTTTGATACTTCAGGTTTCATACCGAATTTCGTGCTTTTAAGAGATGTTGATTATATTTTGGACACGCTCGTTGATTCGCAGAAGCAAATGCTAATACTGGGCATTTTTGTACGACTACGTCACACATCACGGAAATATGAAACAAAAGGTTATGAGGATGAGGTTAAGGTTATATTATAGAGATGCTCGTATTGCTATTTCGATAACTTCGTTTTGCTCATCAAGTGGAGCTCTACACATTTTCCCAGGTCCGATCTGAGTTACTTTATCGAAATAGTGAGATACATTTTATAAGCTTAAGCGCCCATGAGTTTCGTAGGGTCATAAATAGATTCATTTACATGACCATAAAGTTCTTCTACAAAGCAAAGCCATCCGACGTCACAAAAAGATAAGATTGTAACAGATTTGAAATAAGGAAAAAATAATAAATAAATATTAAGGATGAAGGGAAGGCTTAGGATCAAACTTGAAGATAGCATGATTGTACATTCAGATTCCAATGTGGGATGATTTGGATCAAGGTAAGAGTAATATCTTATCCTGGGGATCAGGACAGACAAGTTACAATTCATTCGGCGTTAAATTTATTTTCGTTTCTTTAGAAAGTTTTAGGTTAGTGTCTTACGGACGAAAAACATGGAAAACATTTTGAGCTTTTTCTATTACTTTTTAGAGGGTGGGAGGGGGGGGGGGGTTGAAATGGGCAGAACAATTCCTTTCTTCAAAGGGAAGCTAATTTAAGAAACATTTTAATATTTTATTGATTACATATTTTGCTGGTCGAAGGTATTTTCACCTTATTGCTGGGACCCACGCTTCAAATTTGGGGGGTTTGTGAAAAAAGATAAAATAATAATTTTTTGGGGGGGGGAAGAACGAAAAATATAAATTTTTTTCTGGTTTAATTTTTTTTTTTTTTTTTAGAAAATTTTTGAGTTTTGGTTTGCCGGGAAAAAAAAATGAAAAATTTTTTGTTTTTTTTTTTTTTTTTTTTGGGGGGGGGGGGGGGGGGGGGGGGGGCTGAAATCGCCAGAACAATTCCTTTCTTCAAAGTGAAGCTAATTTAAGAAACATTTTCATATCTTACTGATTACATAATTTGCTTGTCGAAGGTATTTTCACCTTACTGCTAGGAACCAGGCTTCAAATTTTAAAGGTTTCACCGTGTTTGCTTTTTTGCATGGGACGGTTCACCTTGTACAATCCTGGGACCAAGCTGAATAGGACTCAGGTTGATTTGAATCAAAGACAGAGGAAGCTTTGCTTCTTTACCCTTCCCAACATTCCCCGCAACCCCCACTACTTTACACAAAGACGTAGGGACTGGGAACAAGTCAAGCAAGGTCCACTCTCTTGATGGACAAGGACAAGGTTTAAATTTGCTTTTTGTGTTTGATTGGCAGGACTGTTGCGTATTACCGTTGGTTCTCCGACTTCGCCCCAGGGATGAGAGAGCAGTTGTTTGGTCAACTTTTTCTGCCTCTTAAGTATCTGGTATTTTACATGATTAAGAGAAAGGTTTGGAAGGATTTGTGGAGCCACGGTATCGGTCGCCATACTGAGCAGGAAATTTACGGAATTGCTGAAAGAGATCTGCTGGCGGTCTCTGAAATCCTGGGCCAAAAGAAATTTCTGTTTGGTGACAAGCCTTGCCTAGCTGACGCTGGATTGTTTGCCTTTATCGCTGGCTCAGCTTGGGATTGCCCAGCGAGTCCATTTTCAAAAATAATTAAAACAAAAGCTACGAATCTTGGTGAGCACGCTCAGAGAATGAAAGAATTGTATTATCCGGATTGGGATAGGATCATCGCCAAGAAAAACAAATCTGAGTAGTGCTAAACATTTTTTCTGAAAAGATGAAAACGAAGAATTGAGAAGACCCCTCCTCTCCCCAAAAAAGAGAGAGTTGTGAAAAGACCTAGCAGAAGCCGACAAGACGTAACTTGGCAGATACGATTTCACATAGTTTGCATTCCATACTCATTAGTCAATTTGACGACAGCTCTAACACGAAAATCTTGTAAACAGTATATCAGTATATTGCAGTTTATATCAGCATATGTTAATTAATAAAAAATGACCTATAACTCCAAGTGTTTAAGCTTGTTAACTCCAATAGTAACGGTACTTATGTTTCTAAAAAGGCCTGACAAACTTCTCGGGAACAATCTCTTAATTTATTAATCCCCTAATTTTAATTGGCAAAGTGACTGCATGGAAACAAAAAAAGAACTGCGGACAAGACAATTTAAGAAAAAATACAAGTTAAGCTGTCCTACATTGAATTAGATCATCAAAATATTGTTAGCCGTTCGGAGAGGAAATTAACTCAAAACAAATCTAAAAGAGGGGGAGGGTTACAACATACTGCACGTCCCAAACTGACCAAACTTGCGAGGTCATATCAATCGATCGTGCCATTCTTTTTTCTTTAAAGAGAGAAACAATTTCATTTGCATGCGTCAATAACGGGAGTGTGGAAAGGCTTTCAGCCTAACAAGCGAACCTGCCATGTTCTGACTATTTCTTGTAACTGTACGTTATTTTGTTGGGTTCGTACCTAGAATAATTTGTTACTGCTTTTACTGTTTGAACGTTGAGACGGTTTGATTTTGGCAGGGAAAGCTAACCCGTCTCAGCCCTTAACACAGACCCTTCACTTTTTTTAATACCAAGAATTTTTAAAAACAAAGGGACAGAGCTGTCGTAATGTAAACGAGCATTGAAAGAGTGATGACAGTGTATAAATACAAGAAGCTGTAGGATGCCGTGATATCACGAGAATCATAACATAAAGCTGCTGTCTGGGGGTCCAAAAACACAAGCAAACCGGTTCATTGAAGTATAATACACAAATAACTACGGTCGAGGATTTCAGTTGCAATTTTAAAGCAACCACGGCTGAAAATTTCATGAACTATACTACTAAAGTGTCAGTACAGAAAAAAGGTAAAAAAGTCTTGAAAATAGGTTTTAGAAGTTGTTATTGGTCAGCAGTTCAAAGAGGCTTGAATCAGAAGCTTGTGTGATGGAAGTTCAAGGACCAAAGATGGTAAGAAAGAAACTAGCCAGCTACAAAGGCAGTATTCAGGAAGCAGAAGGAAGGACTGAGAAAGCGAAACAAAGCCTTCAACTTGTGGAGAAGAGATTTATTAAGGCCATTTGCAAGAAATCGAAGATGGAAGATCTGATTAGAAAACGGGAGATGCAACTCGAACGAGCAGAAGCTCGCATTACCGGTATTCAGCTAAAATGGGATGCTTTAGTTCGATTCTACGAAGAGATGAATGTTCTCGTACCTGGGTATCACCAAAGTGGCCTGGAAGATCAGGAATTCGATATAGAGATTGCCAAATTTACCGAGAAAACAGAAAAAGCCAAGAAGAAATATAACGCCTGCGTTGACAGGGAACGTGTTTTGCGTGATAAAACGGAGAGGGCGCGATGGCGTCAAATCAGAGCGGAATCAGCCTTGAGAGAACTACAGGAACAATTAACTTCAATTAAAAAACGTGTTCAGGATTTGGACGAAAGAAAGTTACAACGTGATGCCCGCGAGCACCAAATGGAAACCTTAGAGGCCAAAGTAAAGCGAGCTTTAGCTAAAGCCCAAGAACGAGAAAACACAGAAGTAGAACTCGAAGAAAAAATTATCCAACTGGAAGATCAAATCGAGATGTACGTTCAAAGAAAGAAACGCGCGATCTCTTTTCTTGCTGATCGAGAAAATAACAACCCTGTTCAGTCTTGGACCATATCCTTTTGGGTTCAAAAGTCTCCACAAACTACCTATCGATCTTCTATTTCTATTACTGTAGGCGGAGCAAATGATACTTGAAATAATCTTCTTATAAACCCTTAATCTTTAAATTGCGGTGGCGTATCTGTACAAAGAAGATTATCGCCTCGTGGAATCTTCTATTTAAAACGGAATTAGCAGATGTGAGTAGACTTGGATACAATAATCCTCGTGCAGTAACATTAATCTACCAGCGTGTCCAAATACTGCCCTTGAGGGCTGAGAAAAAATTGTTAACATATAATTGTAAACGCGGTCGTTCTTTTCCTAGGGAAACGAAAACAAACTCTATACAGAAATAAACCGGACAAGTGTTATTATCTTAGAATTGTGGGTTAACTGATAGGCATCGTGCTATGACCCTAAACCTTCCAAACGTCAGCTAAAAAAAGAGAGAAGTTTGATAAGCACATGCCGACCGAGCCTCTTAGACAAACGTTGAAGGTGAAAGTGAAAGACGTCGTGCTCACGGCGCTCACTTGCGACAGAATCTCACCAAGAGTCAAGCGTTTCTCCTCTAAGCATTGCTTCTCTAAAGAGATGAGAAACGTTAATGAAAGTATCATGTTAAACTGTTTTTGGATGGAAGAGTTTAAAGTAAGATGCCATTCTTGACTATCATTAAACGTGATTAAATTTACATGATAATTAAATGTCCTACTGTTCATTATGGTATTATATATAAGATGAGCCCTGTAAGACTGTGAATTATTCATTCATTTCTTTTCCTTCCCGCCGGCCTTCTGTCTTCGCAGCCTTTTTCATGTGAAAAATCGCACAACTGGCATGGCTACTGATCCAGACTAGCTAGGGTTAAAGATTTGTAAATACTAGGTTACCGGACTCTTTTTGCTCTTGAAAAGCCATTACCATTAAGCCTCATTGACTCTGAACCGAAAACCACTCGACTTTTAGAGAAACAGTGGTAAAAAAAACGTGACAAGAGTGATTACCTGAATTGTCTTCCGCAGTGGGGAACAAACTGATCATTAAATGATATAAAATTACATTCCTCCTTTGCACCTCCATTTTAACGAGTATTAACACGTTTTCAACTGTGTAGGTTTTACATTCTATTTCTTGTGTGGTCCCCTATAACTTTCTGTTAGCATGTTTTTTCGGGAGAGAAAATAATGAAATTGGAAACCTATGCATTGCATAAGCCAACCAAAAACACAATTTCACAGTACAAGGAACAGTGTTCAAACGAAGAGCAAGACTCAAGAGCCTAAAGAGCGCTTGCGTGAATGAACGGGACGGAGGCTGAAGCGAGCTACTTGCTACTCTTTGGCTCACCTACCAATAGTATAAGGAATTTCTAGGTTGCACGTGAAGTCACGGCAGCCATGTTGGTGGTCAAGAACTAAATAAAATGACTTTATTTTCATTTTCATGTAAATTCTTCGAGAAAAAATTCCAAACATGGCCACCTTAGCTTGTCACGTCGCTGCAAACCAAGAATAGTAACAAAACCGAAGGGCTAAAACCTTGAAAGTTTTATGATTGAGCAACATCGACCGACGCTCGCACAAACATGAGCAACGTGATTTTTGAAGTCACATGACCATCTTATTCGTCTCCACTATGTCTCCTCACCCGTCAAGATTGCTAAATCAACGGAAATACTTCTCCTGGGACGCCGACGACCCTAATCATCCCTTTTACCTTTATAGCGACGAACTATTTGAAAAGTGATTGGGGGCGGGGGGAGTAGAGATTTTGAGCTCTCAAAGATTCTTTTGTGGCCGATTGCCTGAAAGAAAATTTTTTTAGTTCAACCTTTCTAGGATTTTTCTTGTGCTAGAGCGGGGCCCTTCAAGGGCCGAGGCCACCGCCTCGGGGAGAAAGGGTGGCACCCGTCAGGGGCGGTGGCAGATAATGTGTGGCTCCTGTCTAAAAAGCGAATAACCATGAACAATAGCCATAACTCCAATAATGCTTCTTTAGCTGTCATTACCTAACACTGTATAGTAACAATTACGCAATCTAAATTGTGTTTCTGGCAAAAAAAAAAATGCCAACAAGGACTATTGTAATTTGCATTCCTTAAGAAATTTCCTTTGTAATGGCAGATAATATACAGGCACTGAAGGAAAACGTTTATATTTGGATTAAATCAGCAGGATAATAATGTGGTTTCTTTTAACCCAGCCACGTCGAGAGAATAATCAATAAAAGGATGCGCGCATTCAAAAGAAAACACTTTGACGAGAGAAAAAAAGATTGACTAGTCTAAAAGTTAGGACTGCGCCGACCTCAAAAGCTTGACGCGATTCAGTCAGCAGAGCTTCTTTTTCCAGTCCTCCTCGGGTTGAGAAGACTGAAGGAGCTACGTTAAGCTCGCATGCACGGTGGTGGTTTCGGTACGAAAAAAAAGCCAGTAGCATATGTCGGAAAATTTCCCTGTCTGAATGATAAACACAGGTGCCGTTTTATTTTGAGCTTACTTGAAATGTCTTTTTTTAACTCAACTATGGATAACTAGAAATTCAATTTTCTCTCCAGAGTCAGCTTAGTTAAGAGCTAAAGTGTTAACAACTTTTTATTACAGTGGAACCTTTGTTCAGGGGACATACTCGGGATCAAGGCAAGCCGTGACTCCTGAATGGAGGTTGGGCTGGGGTTTGTTAATAATTAACCAACACATTAAATATTTTTCTTTTATTCTGCCTCTGACTCTGCTTCAGTCATCAAGCGGCTAGGTAATGCATGAAGAATCATGATTAACGTATGTCTGCGATTCCCACAAGTGCAGTCATCGATGGATAGTTCATGATGTGAAAGCTATCGTCCCTGTGATAGCCTGCGGGCAAGCTCTCCAATTTGGGCGAGTTAAACGAGTCTCGCGAAAACGCGCGAGCGAGCGGCGAAGCGGCGAGGGGCCCCTCGCGACGGCCCCTCGCTCGCGCGTTCTCGCGAGGCTCGCTTCGCTTGCCTAAATAGGAGAGCTTGCTCGCAGGCTATCCCTGTGACTGGTGTACACTTAAACTTATCAACGCTTTTTGCTGTCAGTCACTTTTTGAGTGTTAAGGAGTCTTCTACACTGAATGGAGGTTAGACCTGGGTTTAGGGACCCAAAAAAGGGTCCCTTTCCCCTGAATAAAGGTGTCCCTTCAATTTTGTGTCCCCTGAATCGAGGTGTTCCATTTTAACTGTATTCAAAATGTCACTGTTCTACTAGCATTTGTTGGTAATTTTGTTTCTGCAGGTGTTGATCTATAGGAAATATAATTGTGTCAAAAAATATTGAAAATTGTATACGATTGTAACGATTGTAACGATTGTAATTGTATACGATTGTAACGGCCGCTGTTCAAGTTTAAATATCAATGTATGCGTATTAAATTACAAATAATTGTGAATGTTTAAGACCAAGAAAATAAAAAAAAACTGAGTTGGGAAGTGGATTTTGATCTTTTCATATTTCTTAAAATCTTTGGATTTTTAATTACTTTCCTTCGCCAAGAAATTCAAAGCTAAAAACTCAGCGGTGTTTTATTAGATGTAAAGTCACAAACCAAACATTAATCCCCTTTTTATTCTATTCTTAAATTATTGATGAGTTTCTGAACTTCTTTTCTGTTCTGTAGTTCTTGCCTGCTAGCAAGCTTTCCATTCATGACAAGCGAAACGAGCCGCGAGAGAACCCCTCCCTCGCACTCGCGTCTTCTTTCGCGTGCTGCTCTCGCGTGACTTCTCGCGACTCCCCCAAATGAAGAGCTTGCTCGTGGGCTCTTCTACTTCTAGCTGAAGGTCTCCCCCTGCCCTCCCACTGAGAGAAATATAATAAAACATTATTTTATAAGCTCGAGGCAAGAGAGGATATCCTCTCTTGCTCGAGGTTTACAAAGGCTCTGGTGTCAGAGCCCTACACTGAGCACTTTGGTAGAATTGTAATTCTGGTTCAATACGTTAATGCAGAACATCTAGAGTATGAATGTTTTCTCTTTGGGATTTTCTTTGCATTGATTTTTTCACGGACATTTTCCGTTGCACGAATTTTTTTTTTGTTTTTTTCCCCCAACACCAGTCCCCCATCACTTTTCTAATGGTCCGTCCGTCAGTAAACAAAATACTGATTTGAAATGTCATCGAAAACTTGGTCTGTCACTCATTCGGGAGAATGAACAAATACTTGTTTCAAACAGTCTGAAGTGCACATAGTAAACCATTCACAGTTATCACCGGTAGTAGTATCAGCTGTTTAGTTCTTTGATCAGTGAGTGACTTGTCTTATAAATAGTCACACGGTCTGATGGTGGGCCCAGATGAATGTTTCTTTTACTTCAGAGGACAGTAAGATAACAAGACTCGGTACGATGCGCTGACGGTGGACTGTAATGAACTAGTAACGGTCAGAAGACTCTTTTAAGCTCGTTCAAAGTTCCAGTTTGTGAAATAAGGGCTCGTGGCACGTTGACGTGGACCGTGGACAGGTTACGCACGACTAGAGCGAAAGTACAAGTACTCAAAGCGTATGACGATCACTTGAAGCTCGTGACAGCTTTAGGTTCATGTTGCCACTCCTTTTCACGTGGACTGACTGAAGTAATTGTCCCTAAAATTATCGCAGGAATCAAGAAACTTTTGTTGCACCACAGACAGAAGCGGATCCTCTAACTGCAAAACAACAAAGAAAGAGAACACACCAAGTGTGTCACGTGTTGTATGCAAAAGTTAGAAGTGGTTGGATTTCGATCAAGGGAACGCTTGTTCCTGTTTTAGAACAGTTTGACGAAAAAGTAAGTTTGAAAGTATCTCCTCTCTTTTTCGAAATTTTTCAAAACTAAAGCACATGACAGAATTTTATCTTATTTTTCAAGAAAAGAACGAATTTCAGAGTCAAACAAATCAGCAGAATAACAGTAGTCATCTGGATATATATTGTAATTCCAACAACTAGCTAACAATTCAATTTAGGATCGAGTCGCTGTTATAATAGACCCAGAGGTTATTAAGGAACTTTTTTAACGTTGCCGGATGAAGCTGAAGTCGAATGACAGGCCGGACGGTCGATACTTTAACGAGAAGAATGGATCCGAGGGTTGACCGCGTTATTACTTAAACCTAGAAGTATAGGTCCGTGAGTGGACTGGGCACTGAGTTACTTGTACTTTACCTTGTTTTCTTTGACTTTTTCCATGGTGATTAAACGCCGAGACACGTGTCGTGACAAACACTGTTCACTGTTCGACACAAGTTTCAGACAGGGATGACTTGGAATAAGCTCTTCTGAGTAGCTGTAAACGACAACAACAAAACTCAGGTTATTTTCGGGTATTCCATCAGTGGCGGATCAAACAGGCATTTAGAAATGTCGGTCTCGGAGCGAGGAACAAAAACAACAAGCTTTGTGTGAATGATCATAATAAGGAGGATAGATAGCAACAAACTCTACCCATGTATGGAACCGGGTTCCCGCTTCTAGGGTACCTTAAATGACCACGCCTACTCCCAAATAAACGGCTCTTACCTAATAAACGCTTGTCTAAGCTGTTAAAATTGTATTAGACGCCCCTCTCTAATAGACTACCCCTATGAGAACTGCTACAAAATACTAGGCATTAGCAAAAAAGAGCCAAATCATTCAATTCATTCAGTTTCTTGCTTGATTAACAAGGCTTTGCGTATTTCATCTTGTTCAATTTCAAGTTCAAAGTAAGGATAGACTAATGATGGAAGCACAATAACCTTGAACAAGGATTCTGACAACAATGTTGGGATTTGGAGGAGCGATATGGATCTCTACACGGCCTGGACATGTCAATCGATGGGGTGTATTCCAATATTTTTAAATTCTCTTGATATTTTTGCCAGAAGCATACCAGTCTTGTTGAGCTTGTTACAGTAATGACAATAAACGCCTCTCTCTTTTAAACGCCGCCTTTCTATTAAACGCCCCCGCTTGAACCCTTAAAATCAAATAGACACCCCGGGCGTTTATTAGTCATTCCGATCCAGAGTTTTTGCTTAATCCCGTAATCGCGATGTTTATTTTCGGCATCCCGCATCCCGTGCAAAGAGTCAGTCAATCTCGAATCTCGACTCTATTTTGCTTTAAAATCCCGAATCCCGACCTTAAGGCAACTCCCGCATCCTGAAAAACCGATTGAGGATCCTCAGTATAGCGTCTATTCCGGGATCACCCATGCCACATTGATGGAAAGTGCTCTCACCTTCGCGCCATCTTTATATGCGCGGCATATAACTAACCTTCCCCGGTCTCAAAATTTCTGATTCCAGCAGAATATAGGATGTACATGTCGCTTATCGACCATGTCTGCCGAGCCTTACTCTCCTGACCAGTATCTCCAGTAGCTCAGTGAATAGAGCACCTGCTCAGTGTTTGGCAGATCATGGGACACAATCCGGACCGTTAGCCGTGTTCCACGCACGTAACATGACAAACACAACGTTATTTTGCGAAATAAATGAAAACCTAGTTATCTACACACCCAGGTTACTCAATAGGCCATTTTACAGTTATGGATGGAAGCGAGGGTGAGGGTGACCTTGCTTTGATACAAACCTTATTTGCTTTGTTATGGAAATTGTTCTTGAAAAATACTAGTAAGCATAAGAACAACTTGAATTACATAATAAAGCAGGAAGGTTTGTATCAAAACAAGGTCACCGTCAGCCTCGCTTCCACCCATAACTGTAAAATGGCCTATTAATAAAAATGCGCCGTGAAAGAAAAAAATGTCGGCACATCCACTCACATAAACACATAATAAAACAGTTATACGTACAAAAACGATGAGGATTTTCTACTATTCACATTACACTAGTCAATAGATCTGTTCTATACTGACCCGGGTCGATAGATTGGAAGCCAATATACCAGTCGTCCATGAAGCACTAGGTATCGAGCTGCTAAGTCTAACAAGATGGTGACTATCTCGGATAGACGGCAACCTCGCACAGCTGAACAAAATGGTGTTTCATCTCTAAAAGATACGCAAAAAAACTTTGATTAATACGTGCTGACAGAATAAAACATTTTGGACCCTAAATATTCTGGTAGGAACGACCTTCCACCAGGATCTAAGAGGGCTACTTTGACACTACATCGGATAACTCTTGCAGGCAGGAAAGACAAAAATTGTCACCGTTTACAATTAGTTACTGAGAAAATTGCACCTACTGACTGGTGGATTCCTGGAGTTCTGTGTTGGTGTCTAATTTACGGGCTCCTTCCCGGATTCCATACGGTGCTAGGATACAAAATAGAAATGAAGGAAGAAGGGTTAGAGTTAGGGTTTAATGAGTACTAAAATGATGTCTGAATGTTACGTCAAAAATTCATTCATTGCAATTTTGAAGAATAAGATGTACCTAATGAAATATTGATTAATGTTAATAAAAAACCTAGGTACAGTTTAGTTACTGCAATCAATTGCAAGCCAGATATGATAAAAACATCTTTGTATAATAAAAATTTGCCGTACAGCTACGAGAATGACCAAATATCTCCCGGAAAAACGACTCTCAAAGTTATTTCACCTAAAATTTACTCTTACGTGCGTGGCCATGTTAACTCGTGAAGCCTTGAAGACATTCAAAACGAGTACTTATCTCAACATAAAAAGCCAGCTGAAAAGCTTGGGAAAGCAATGATTGCGTAGTCAAAGTGGAGAAGAGGATCAAATAAATTGCTGGCGACATTCAATATTCGCACCAGATGACCCTCGGATAACATGTCCGTAACAGATTGCATTCAAAACATATAAAGAAGTCTTCAGTGTACCCCTTTTTTAAAAAAATACAGGTGTTACCCGCCAAAAATTGACGAATTTACTCACGATCAGTTATTATAGCATCAAATAACGGAACTTCTCTTAATCCCAGTCTCCCGGCGTCTGCAACCAGCACGTCCACAAAATAACTGCCAAGACCATACTGAGTGAAGTTAGCTTTGAAGTTCTCATCTCGAGCTTTGGAAAGTAAGGAATTAGAAACATTACTTTTAGTGAGGCCTTATGCGTAACGAAGCGTGAAGAGGAGAGAAAAGGCAAGTACACCGAGTAAAATTAGGCAGAATTAGTATTCTCTGTTGCACCTGTGCCTAGTTTTTGCCATTTTCAACTGCAAAAACGAAGATTAAAGACGAACACGAGAAAAATAATGAAAAATGTAGAGAAAAATCTCTCAGTCTAGTTTGTTTAAAGCTAGTTGAAAATGCGTGTCACGTACCAAGGTTGAGAGGAGTTAGCCAACGACAGATTTTACACTAAACATGTCAAAACAGAGACCTACTTGCGTTTAATTTTTTTTAAATATAGAGGTGAAGTGTTTTGTAAAAAAGATAATGAGAGTAATACAGTACCTCTCCATTGTCCTTGTCTGTTTGCTCGAGAACTTCTACCTTGAAAACAACAAAGACGAATAAACTGACTAGGGCGTGCAAAAACCTGGATTCTTTGAAACAGATTTTGCGATTCTTTGGCAAAATCCAAAAATGGAGTTTGAATCTAAGAAATCAAAACTCACAAAGAATGCAAATCTAAATCCAGACTTTTAGGATGGGTGGTCCGTGTGTTTCTTTGGACAAGAGTTGGTATTGCCTGGCTTGCAGAATAGGCGTTATTTTTTCCCGTTTTTCAGGGGAGCGGAGGCCGCATGAGGCGGGGGTGAAGCGTGAGACGCGCGCTGAAGGAAGCAGCAGCAAAAAAGAAAAAGCTTTAGTCCCCCATTGCACCGGGCGCCTTGTCTTTGCTAGCCAGCTAAGAAATCCTGTTCTTCAGGCTAATTACCAGCAGGTTTGCCCATCTACGCACTATTTAGCGGTTTTTGCATTTCTTTTGCGTTCTAAAGCTTGAAAGGATATTTTTTCATGATAATTTATAGCTAATATTGTAAAAAAAAAACTGCTTAAAAGAGCCCATTTAGTAAAAGTTATCAAAAATACCTCTGCCATGAAGTAGTGTGTAATCAATGTCACTTCCCATGACATAGGCCCCAAAATGAGAGCAGGACAAGAGAATGCTTCCTAAAAACAAACATTAATGCCATCAACATTGGTCTGAAAAGCACTTCATTGAAGAGTTATAGGCTTTGTTACTGATTAAGATGCTCTGTTGCAAGTGACTACGGCTAGAGAAACGATAATGTCTCCGTGCAAAAAGGATTTTCTTATCGTTTTTAAGATTACTCCAAACTTAATGTGACTGTTATCTTTGCGGAGATACATTGCTCTGAACTCGATGGAACTGTTGTCTTGCTGGATAATACAACAAGGAGTACAGATGTACAAGGGATCCTGGTGGAAAAAAACTCTTTAGACATGCACTTCATGTTCTTCTTGCAGCACCCAGGTTCATTTTTTTGCGAAAGTCCTGAAATGTCAATGATGACATTTCAGGACTTTTGCAAACACAAATAATTATTGCCTTTTACTTTGTTTCCGTGCTTTTGAAATAAATAACTAAAGAATAATTAATTACCAGTGCCAACGAATGGGTCAAATACAAAACTTCCTGGGCTAACCTTAAAAATAAAGAAACAACAAAATTCACTTTGATTATTACACGGTACCTACAGTGTTTACTTAACAGGGTGCAAAGAAAGTCATTTTTACAGCTTGCCATTCGGGCAAGCTGAAGCTAACATTTACTAGCCCAAACATCATTTCAACTAGTCCCAAAAACGTTTGGATGAGCAGAATGATTTCATAGTTCTTCTGTAATTTAAATTCCTCAAAACAGTTCACTTGCCCGTCAGGCAAATTAATAACGGAATTCACTAGCCCGATAGCAAAATCCACTAGCCCTGGGCTATCAGACACTACTTTCTTTGCACACTGCTTAAACATTTTTTTCCTTACTTGTAATATTCGCCATGCCTTAAATTGAAAAAAATGTGTTTACATAAACTATATATTTTTCATCTACTAAACGTAAATACTGTAGAAGCTCTCCAAACAGACACTTGCTGACAGTTCTACTAGCAGCTGTCTTCACAAAATCCTGTTTTTAATTTTAAAGAAAAAACAAAGAAATGCTCCATTTTAACATTCCTGTAAGTGGCTAGCTCCAGTTACCAACACCCGAGGGTGTCTGCTCACAAGAGCTTCCACTGTATTTAAGATCTCAGCTGTTTCAGTTTATAATCTATAATAGTTTTCAGAATGAAAACTGACCCAAGTATTTTTTAAAGAAAATTAAATTTGTCAGTTCTAATGATGGTACCTGTCCTTGGTTGGCCATTATGAAGGAAAGTTGAGGATCCATGGATGTGTTTCCAATAAAATGCCTTGTCTTTAGAGAATACTGCTTTAACAAGTGACGTTGCCCATGTCCAATCTAACAAAAAAGACCAGTTTATTATTATAAGTAATTCTACTTTTCTGTTAATTAAACGCAAAACCAAAAATATTGGTGGTAACATTTCACTGCATTCCAATCTTACCAAGCGTCCAAAAAATAGTCGTTCAGGGTTGGGTGGGGCAGCATTCGGATCATCTCCATAGTCCACAAGTAACGAGAACACATGATCAGGAACTGACAGGTTGACACAGCCTTCAAATGGAAGGAATTCAAATTGCTGGGGATTGGATGGCACAAAAATGTGTAAATATAATCCTACTTCGTAAACTATATCTACGTACTTTAATATTGTCGAAAGATTATAACATCCAGACTTAAGTCATATAGATTGGGTGATATATTTTCAGTAGTCAGAGTTTCTACCCTGGCTGGAGTGAGGGTCCCAGATAGCGTCCTTCAATCCAGTCATCCTGAACCCAAATTTTCCCTCAATGTTGTAATCCCAATGGTTATTTTCCACAAGCTGCATCCTCTGCATACTTTTAATCCTAAATCTTGCCCTTTGCTTCAAAATTTATTGAGACTCCTATCCTTGCAAATAAAGCATATCCTGGATTTCAAAAAAATCTACTGAGATCCTCTGGAAAATGATTAAGGTACACCACCACCCAACTAATTTACTAAGCATGATTATCTGCTCTACGAGGCACAGATCTTCCAGGAAGGTATTATTGGCACAAAACAGGACTCATAAGATTGATGTGAGGCTGTGTCCCTACCCATCCCCTCAAAACATGACAGGTAGACACTAGGGGTGGTGACTAGTACCAGAGAATGTCATGTCCCAAGTACATCTACAGTAGTAGTTCTGTTACTTCCCACAAGAGTCAGATTGGAGAAGCAATGAGAGACGGCCCCTACAGTATCATTTATTAACCTTTATCAGGGAAGGCTAGAATGTTTAAACAGATCCAACAAGAAAAATCACTACTACATTATTTATAACTATAATTAACCTGACATGTTTTATAAGGCAATATAATGATTATTAACATCACATATTTCTTTATATTTTTTTCAAAAATGATTTACTGGCCACCCAATACTTACATCAATAAGCTCTCTCTGTTGACTAACAGAAAGCTTTTTATTGAATGTTTCAATGCTGATTTTAAATGTGGAGTTGCTAGAGGAGAAAGGTTTCTGAAATTAAAATAGAAGAAACAGAGTAATCAATTTTCATGATAAGAATTAAGATGAAATTACAGACTGTTAATATACTAGCTTCGTACTTTTATAGCGTATGGACTTTTACTGCAAATGTACTTTTATTCTATTTAACAAATTGACCACAATTTTCCATAGTCTACACTCTTACAGATCATAGAAATGACGTCATAAAATGTTCAAAACTCAAATGGAACCATGAGCCGCGGGCGAGTGGTTTCACTGCAAAGTTTTAAACATTTTGTGGCATCATTTCTATGGTTTATAAGAATGTAGATCATGGAAAAATGTGATTGATTTGTTTTTTACAATAACATTTATTTTTTACGAAAACAACTGGCATTGCATGACATGTTACATCATTTCCACGGTCTATAATCTTATAGACCATAGCTCTCGACCAATAAGTGGACAAGATTCACTCAGTTATTGTAAAATAAATTATACGCTGTGGCTATATGCCCGGAAGCTGGAAGTGGTCTCAAAAAAATGTCCCCCAGTCAGAAAATTTTCTAGAATTTCTACAAAAACCCTTTTTCTAATCATTTGAAAGTATTCTATCTTCAATTAGAATAACCAAGCTATAGGCAAAAAGACTGGCTTCACAGGTGAACGGTTGTGCAGGGCTTCTGATAAGTCATGAAGAAAAAGTCAAATTTCACGGGATTTTTAGGGACAAATTCGCAGAAAAATCAGACGATTTCGCAGGAATTTCTTGCGAGTTTTCGGGGCAAACCTCACCAAAAAGCAATCGGTAAAAAATGGCCGATTTTGGGGTTATTTTCAAGGTAAATTTCACTAGGAATCAAACAGTTTTGCACTGATCAGACCAGCATTTTTAACGTTTTTCTAACAGACGTCATCATTTGCTCTTTCAACAACAATACGCTCCAGAAATGAACCAATGGCAAAGCCTTTAACATCATGGCTAGTGCCCAGTTTTTCGCAACATAATCTACGCCTAGTAGTTTCAGGACGTCGTTTGCGCATTTCAGTGACCAAGTTCCATAAAAAATTTGCAAGTTTATGGCAAGTAAATAGCCCCTATAGCTGTTAAAATAAGTTTCAGATATGTTGTACAGACATGTATTTGATAAGATTTCTACCCAATTTCACGGTATTTTTCGTGTTTTTGTGGATTTCGCAGAATTTCGCGGCTCCACAACCGCGCAAAATATCAGAAGCCCTGGTTGTGGTTTCTTGGGCATAGAGTAGAGTTGATGCCGTTTTGACACTTAGAAAAATTTTGTGAGTAGCAGTTGTCTAAATTTACAGCATACCATTTTATGAGCTGGATACTGGAGAACACTGTTTTTGACCTCTGTTAAATTATTTCCATGTCCCCACAATTCATAGACAGATCTATGCAATGCAAAAAATAATTACTGTAAGAATAAAGCTAATTGTCCTGTAGTGGTTATCCTCTCATTGCGACTACATCTAATATAAATGTCAATTTAACTTTTGTAAAGCTGCATGCACAATGATGTCTTACTTTATGGTAACAGCTCTGGACAGCAAATGTCTTGCACATTCTTTATTTGGTAAGCGTATCAACAAGTGTGGGTTCTGAGCAAAATTAAAGGATTTCAGAAATGTGATAAAATTTAATATAATCGACTTTCCTTGTACACAAAAGTAGAAGAATAAGTGTTAATTTTACCTCTTTTCTATGATCCTTGCTTTGAAATCGAACACTGAAACTAAACATTGACGAAATAGACAATAACTCCTGAAACAGATTGAACAAAAAGCACACAAATGACCGTATTAGAAGAATTTGCTGCAATCAGTTAACGTTCTACTATCTAAACAGTAGATCGTAGGGAAATTTGTACCTTTTTACAGTAATTAGAATTTTCGATTAATCTCTGTACTCACAGAAATCCTAAAATCGACATGTTCTTGAGCAAAGAGGCACAGGAAGTGCTCACAATCTTCCACTTCGTCCGCCATATTGAATTTTGCAGGGTAACCGCTGATTTATAGCACTAGTTTCTAGAAATTTCAAATAACCGGAACATTTTCTCCTGAAGGACTAGGGACTACGGAACAGAAGAGATTATGTGTTAAAGATTATGCTCGAAAATCTGTAAGCGAGAGAATTTGAGCAGCGAAGTCGCGCGAGTTGCAGCTGCTCGCAGTCTGGTTATTTGTAATCTTGATTTACTCGATGTAATCTTGTAATCTTGATTTACTCGATGTAAATTCAGGACTATGTTCACCCGGACGATCAAACTCAAGCTATTTTCAAAATGACTCCTGGGTTCAAACCTTTCACAGTCGATGTAAATAACTGCATTACAATTACAGTGGCGGATCCAGGGGAGGGGTCCAGGGGACCCCCCCCCCCCCCCCCCCCCTCCCAGTCTACACCCAGCGCCTCACAGGCGGAAAACAAAGTTATTCGATCCTGAGGCCCCCCCGTGCCCACCAGTCTGGACCGCCGCTCGCCACCCCACCCGCACCCCTACCACTGCTCATCGGCCCTGCCACACGGTCCACCTCATGTGCCTTAGTGCGGGCTCATTTTCCCGAACAGCGGCTGGTAATCGAGCCTATGGATAACACATTTAGTGAAAAAACAGTGAAGTCAGAGGCCCATCGCTAAGCGGATTTTCAATCACAATGTTACATGTCTTTTCCAGCTGGGGTCAATTTAATAACAAGTTTACAAGTGTTATTATAAATTCAACTCACTATCTCTTTTCTGATTGGCCAAGAGCATACAGTTTATTTTCGAAATCAGTGCCTGGGACGTCATTTATCTGTAGATCATAAAATAATCATGGCAAGGACACTCAAGGTCACGGGCAATCATTTCATGCATGACCGCGGTGCATGATTTTTAAGGGTAATCATGGCAAGTTCGCGCACTTTGTGTTGTTTGCTGTCAATCAAGAGGCAAAAACATGACTTCCAGGTGTTCCTTCCCACTTACTGTCGTGACCATTTCTTTTCCCTTCAATGCAGTGATAAAACAATTATTAGATTCGGTTTTTGGGATGTCCAGAATAATCAAGGTCTCGTTAAGGCTGATAACCTTACCGAGACCTTGATTACTCTGGATATCACAAAAACCGAATCCAATAATTGTTTATAATTTACAACTGTAGGTATTGTTTTAGGGTCTGAAAACAATAGCTACAATTGTATAATACACTTGTAAATGTTTTATTAAATTGACCACTTGTAAGCGAGCGTAGTTGTTGTTGTTACATCAGGTGCGCGTGCCTCAGAATGAGTCCTTCTCCGCCTGCGCGCCTTTAATTCACGTAGCGTTTGAGACAGAGTGCAATGATTTCATGAGATCGCGACATGCTAAATGAGTCCAAAATGTTAGCAAACTAACCTACAAGAGAATGAGAAACAATGCACAATTTTATTTCTGTCATTGGCAAACTCTATTCGTAGCAAGTCTGAATAACCAACACTGTAGGACGAGCGAGTATCTAAAAGTTTTTATTAAAACAAAAATTCTCGGACATCTTCGGAGTCGATCAGTTTTCCCCTTGCCATATTCGGGCATGCGCTGTATGGACTGTTCTCTTTGTAACACTGAGTTAATGCTTCTGATTCCTTGATCCATCCCTCTTCCCACTCAGCCTCTGCAACTTCATCGCTTAGCTCAGGTAAGGTTTCTACGTTATCATCTTTATCAACCTAAAGGAAATGAAACCTTAATATAAGAAAACCTCCTGCAACCTTAACCTGTGAACAGTACCAAGAAATAAGTAAAGACAAAGCTTTCGGCTGCAAATGCATGTACAGTGTACCACGGTTGCTATCGTATCGTTCCACGACAAGCTAAGCGCGGTACTGTTGCCGGCCCTGTTTTTAGACAAGAAATTGTCTCTCTCCATGACCCAAATGGTGAAATGAATAGCTCTTTCAGGGAGAACTGGAGGAGTTGAGCAACACTCCTGAGTAGCCGTATCCCACCCCACCAAAGTAAACGAACAGGGGAGCCTTTGACACTTTCTCTTACCAAACAAGTTTTGTAAGGACCACTTAAACAACCAGCTGCGAGGGAAAGCTGGACATTGGTGTAGATCAGGATCAGCAATATAGAATAACACTTAAACTTGCAATTGAAGGTAAGGCTGATCGGAAAGCTATTGAATGGGTAACCCTCAGCCCTTTTCTGATTGACCGAAATTAAAAATTTCTTAACGTCATTGTCTAAATGGGGTCATAAAACACACGCTGTACCTTCAAGGTTGTCCTATACATTGTAGGTATTGCCCTCACAGTGTATGCTAAATTTTTGGTCAAGTACCCTCCCCCTCCCTCTGGGGAGGAAGGAGATCAGCAGGGCTTAGAAACCACTCACCATGTTGTCGTGCAAATGCCCAAGAAAGAACAGTTTCATTTCCGGGTTGAAAAACGCTGCCAGAGAAGCCACGCTTGACTCGGCATGGAGAAAGTAACTACATTTAGCCAGCAATAAAATGTCGATAAGGACCTGGGTACCAATCTCAATCGCATTGTTGGTCACGTGAGAATTGACTGGACTATGAGAATGATAATTCTCCGCTCTTTTTGCCGCAGTAACAACCACCTGTAAACAAGCAAATACTGAGTAGAGATTATTACAAAGGAACTATGCGCAAATTAAATTTTATTAGACTGTAATAGTTGAGTATCTGGAACGAAGGATATGTATGCACACGTCCTTCGATTTGTATTTGTCTTACTTAGCCGGTAGCATCTGCTTCATTGTGTAAAACGAGTAAAGAAAGCACTTTGAAATATCTTTGGTAAGGGAACTCATCATCTGGTTCAGAACTATCTTGAATTTTTGGGCTGTGGAAATCAAAAATTTTTATGTAGTCCGGGTGGGTTTATCATTGTCACCATTTGCAAAGACAAACGTAACAACTCGGAATTAATCGGTCTTAGGAGTCTTTCAGTGGTACTGCTCCACTCGAACATATGAGTAATTTTTCGATGGAAGAAGGTTTGCTTAATCAAAATAGATTTGGTTTAAGAGACGTCGGTAGAGAATTCTTCCGAGCTTTCTGGTTAGTACAGAAGAAAAGGGATATAACCGAGATTTCGCACTTTGCCGGAATTTTTTTATATATACTGTAAACATTTCTAAGAAATCTAGTCCAGGCATTCACATCATTGCTGCATGAGGTGAAGCGGGAACAGGAGAATTAGGATAAGAATCACCAGAAGAAGGAAGGAATTAACTTTTTCCTAGCTGCCTCTGTAATACCTTACCAGTGATAAAGATCTTACCTTATCCTCTCCAAAATGTTTCACAAAAAGTTGAACACCCTCGTTATTATCACTGGCCAAAAAGATTCTTTTAGGGTATTCTAGAGTGTCAAATATTTGCTGTGTATCATGAATCCACTGTTCCAATGCCGGTAAAGTCTTATTCTCTGTCTCCGACCAATGATCAGTACCCCGTATGTGAACTCCCAGTAAATTGAACCCTTGCATGTTATCAATGTAAAATTGTTCAGCTCGTGTCTGTATAAATTTCTGTGGTTGGATGTATTCAGTGATCATGCCATGTACCCATTTTCTTAGTTGCGGTGTAATTATCGCGCCTTCTTCGTAGCCTGGGACACTCTGCCGTTTTCTAAACCCAAATTCTAACAAGGAGCTAGTCCTCAAGCCCCAATCAAATTGCTTAATTTGTTGTGGATTTAAGCATTTGATTGCCTTTGCAGTCTCGCGTGCTAATACTCGCCCGCCGATTAAACCACCCAGACAAAGAACTCTGGATGCACTCAAGTCAAAATCTGTGTTTAGAGGCTCAAAATATGCTGGCCAAGAATTTTGCTCGGGGTCTTTTATACAGTACGTTTCGCAGTTTCTCCATTGAAATGTTATGTTGTATATTCCTAGCAAATGACAGTATGACACGTGATCTAAGGTAGCCAGTAGCAGAGCACCAAACCCAGTCCCCTCGCATTCGAGAAGCGTTGGCTCTGAAACGCAGACAGTGCTCAAAGAGAGTTCTGGTGAAGAATCTTTATCGCTTTTTTCTTTCACTGCCGCAAAGAATCCTCTGCGAAGTTCGTTAAAAACTATGTCCGTGGCGTTAGATGATTCATGGTGTTCTTTTGTGACCCCTCCCAATTCAGCTTTGTGGTTTTTCTCCTGTGCTTTCAAGTATACATAATTTTTCGCATTGATGTCAGGCCTTTCCATTTGAATCATCGATGTGAATGAAACGCAATGTCCGCAAACTGGCGCAAAACTGCTTTGACTGTCAGGTGAATATAGAGCTAAACAGAATAAGACTACAAAGCTAACGAACGCTATTGCTACTGCATATCTGTACACCAGACAAGGAGTATAACCTATCTGACGAGAACGCCGCATTCCTCTGTGGTACACCCTGCAATGTTAAGTTGTGAATTGAACAGTAAAAGCTGCACTCCTCTGGTCAAACACCTCGTAAATAATTTTTCCTCAATTGTGCAACTGTAAGGAAAGCAAAAAGGAAACGCAAAGTAATGAAGGATGTGCATAACCGTGCTTGTTTTGCAGGTAAATAGTATTGACGTAAGTTCTAAATTCTTCTGTAAGATCTGGTGGGGTTCCTATTCAGATAAGGTGGGTGAGAGAGCGTGGCCAAGGGGGTTTCTAAGGTGTCTGTGATCGTCCATTGCCAAAATAGACGTAACTTCCAGAGCATAAAAAGGAATATAGCGTTAATAAGACCTTGAATACGACCTCTCTATTAATCCTACCAAGGAGATTATAATAGGACAGGTCCTAAAGGGGCGCTGAGTTTATTGTAATTACGCCCCATTAACATTAATTCTTGTAGGTAGAGTTAGCGCTACAGAGGAGTGCCTCCTAGTGATACACACCTGTGGATTCTTGAGAAAATTCTAGTGTTTTTAAGAAGAGAAATGGAAAACTACCAAGCTCGCGGAAACTTTGCTCGGGCACCGGTCAGCATATACGTTAACAGTCTGCACTGCCGGGCAGGCGCACTCGAGTGTCTTTTGTGATCTTTTGTTTTAGTTGTTATCACATGGTCCTGCACGTGCGAGATCTTGTAGAGTTTTGCTATATTTAGAGTATTGTCTCTAAGGCCCGGTTCAGACGCCGCTCCACTCATGTGCCGAACCTAACTGAGTTTGGTTCGACTTTGGAGCGACATTAGCGCGACATCTGATTCAGACGGCGCACCGTGAGTCGAACCTAATCTTTATTTCATGTAGGGAGAAAGAAAAAGATCTATAAATTATCATAATGTATGCATTTGATTCGGCACATGAGAAGAACGCCGTATGAATCACCTGCCGCTCCAATGTCGAATAATGCGACAGACCCTGTCGAACTTAACGTTTTTGCCGCACCAAATTAAAACTGCCGTACCAAACTGATTCAGACGCCGCTCTTTTGCCGCACTTAATTCATCAGTTAGGTTCGGCACATGAGTGGAGCGGCGTCTGAACCGGGCCTAAGAGATTTATCCATTGTACAGTTATTAGCTGCCATACAGGGAACAGATGAGTGTTGAATTTTGTCGCTAAAAAATAATCAGATCTATTGCAAAAGACTGACTTGAACCTCTTCTCTGGAATTACGTGACAAAACTCTAGCAGGCAATAGAGCAGAAGCAATATCAGGAAAAAGACACCCCGGCTCGCATGATCGATCCCGATAACGTACTTTAGGCCTTCACCAATTTCCATCAGTTTGTTAAAAAAAATAAATGAACTGAATATGTCTTGCTTAAAAACACTTAATCCGGACCTGTATCCTCTGATTTTTTCCTACTCTTCAGGACGGTTTCAGAGGCCGTCTTTTAAATAAATAAATTTGCCTGAATATCCTTAATTCCTTAAAGCAATGAAAGCAGGAGAGCTGATTAGTATTTTTTAAAGAAGATGAAATTGAGCCATGCAGACTCAAAACCGCTCTAAATCAAAATGTTTGCAATTATTTAATACCTATTGATAACGGACTTTGAAAACCTATGAATATCTTTTTAGGGGTAGTTTTAGAGACGATATACTCTGCTTCGATAACAACACTATAATACCACATTTTCCTCACCTGCGTTTTCACATGCTTGGTTCGTTGTTCCTTATATCAAGAAGTTAAGGAAAAAGATCGTTTCCTTGGCATCATCGGGTCAAAAATTCTCTCAATTCTCTCCCGATACAAGGTTTTGTGAGCAACCGTCAGTTTACTCGAATAACAGTGAGCATTCGAACCCGACAGATATTGTGATGCCACGTACACAGCTTACAGGCGTTTTAGTTTTGACAAACCTGAGATCATAAGGTCATCTTCGATCGGAGGATAAAGACTGAATATCCCGAGGACATAAATACGTCATGTATGAATAAAAAACAGCATGGTAAAGCAGATTGGGCCAGTTGATTTTTTAAAAAATTCTCAGCACTGATATTCAACAAATTGTCCTGAAAGAAGCAAAGGGAATTGACAGTTTGGTCAATTGCGCTGAGTATGTAACTAAGAAACGACAAGACTAATTGGAACACGCGAAAACGGCACGTTACATTATGCCTTTTTTTTCGGTCTGACAGGTGGTTAGAAAATCATGCTAGGGAGTTTGATTTGTTATTAAGAAACAAAAACAACAAGAACTCTTACAATTAATCTCCGAAGCAACATTTTGTCGCTGTGAGCATGAAACATGTCGTTCTTAAATCCACGGCCAGCGTACCGCGTCTTTAGCAAACTGACGAGCAAAATAAGTTACCATAAAAAAATTACCCTTACCTTTTCACTTCGAAGATAAAAGTTATAAAATTAATTTACCGATCTAATGTTATCGTACACTGATTTAAGTGAATTACTACAACTTCTGTATCATTCTTTACTTTTTCTTGTATTTTTGCCTAGTTGTACTTGTCTTTTAGTTTACTAGCTATTGCAGCTGTAAATGTTTATTATTAAGAAGACAAAAGTTTCGTCATTGAAATTATTTTTGTCAAACTTGTTTGGATATGTCGGACTGTAGCAATCAGGTAAAGCCAGATGTTGCATCAGCTCCTCATTGTAAACAATTCATAGGCTAAATACTGGAACAATATTCTATAAATTGTTAAGTAAATTTCAATTTTAAGAAACCTCCCTGTTACTAAGCCCGAGTAGCAGGTGTTTTTGAAGGGGAGGGGGCGGGGGATGGAAGCGAGCGTTCATTATTTCCTGTTTGAAGTACCAATATTTTATTTTGAAAGTGGGAAGATTTGGATCGATAAGAGAATATAATAAAATAGGCCGGGGCAAGCCTGATAACTGTTACAGTTGGCGTTTTTCTCACGTTTTTCTTATTATCATTATTCTCTTTTGGGGGAATTAATCTATCATAAAACCCGAAGATGTGAGAGTTGTGATGATAATGAAGATGAAAAAGACATACTGAATAATTATAATTTTCCTTGGCTCTTTAGCGACTTTATTCACTACAGAAATACAGGAGTACCTTTACCCTGGTACTAAATATACAGTCTCTTTTATTAATCAATTAGGATATGGCCAAATGAGTCTAGTAATTCTTCAAGATCGTTCAAATACTGCTCTTCATCGTCGTGGGTATGATGACCTATTCCGGT